TTATTGACTGAAAATTCAAAGGCTTGTGAGGTTTTCACCTCGTTGCGTTCTGACTGTAAGAGGAACCGAGTTGCTCATGATAACAGAGTTGTAAAGAGTGATCCAGCAAGGATTATTGGTTCATCCATTGTGTTGCTCTGCAAGTATGTTGATGAGTATATCAATGTTGCTTATGGAACTTTAAAGTCTCTACCAGTGGCTGGGTGTGAGACTGTTCAGGTTGAAATCAAAGATTGTCTCAAACATCAAAATCTATTCACCGATACCATTATGAATGCAGGATCAATTATCGATTATCCATGGTCGCTACTGTCCAAGGACAAGACAGAGGAAGGTATTAATATTAATAACCTATTATTAAGTAATCCCCCACCATCTAGAAGAAGTATTACTCCTGTAAACAATCTATTGGTGTTTAGTACCCCTAATGTAGATAGTACTGCTAATACTTCTCTTGGTTCTTCAGGTGTTGATTTGACTCCCTCTGTTGGTTTGGATAGTGCTCTTAATTCTTCCTCTTACTTCTTCCTCTGCTACTAGTGCTGCTATTGTTGATTTGAATAGTGTTGCTGAACTACCACCTCCTCCTACTCCTCCTCCTACTATTTCTGTTGATTTGAATAGTACTGGTGGTACTGTTAATCCTACCTCCTCTGCTGTTAGTGTTGTTGTTGCTACTCCTGTTGTTGGTTTGGGTAGTAGTACTCTTCCTACTGATTCTTTTGTTGGAAATTTGAACAGTAATACTACTATGGTTGAGTCTACTCCTTTCGTTAGAGGTAATGATAAATCAAACGAGTTGGGTGATCCTTCAACTACTATTGATGATGGTCCAATTGTTGTTGAAGAGCCTACTTCTTTGAGTAGTGCTCATTTGCATATTGTTACTGCTCTCTTTCAGGGTACTGACATCTATGTGCCAACCTCCAGCAAGCCATACTGGGCATTCAGAGCAGTAGAAGCAAAACGATTAATTGATAACAATTTTGCATTAGCCCAACATAATGCCTACTTGGAAAAACAAGTTAAAGAAGATTCAATCTTTCAAGACAGTATTACCAAACTTGTGGAAGCAAAAAACGCTTCTAGAAAAAACACTTCACCAATAGTTACAACAGTTGATCTAATGTTTGATGGTATGACTAGAACTGTTTCCCATGAAGAATTCGAAAAGTTCAAAAATAGTAGCAAAATTAATGAAACAATTGATCAAGTGATGCAATGGTTTGATTTGGTTGAGGATGATTTGAAATCCAAGAAGAAGGAATTTGATACCTTTCTATTACAGTACAAGGGATGTAAAATGGCAGATAGTACCATCAGAAATAGAGTTCCCTATGCTAGAAAGAGGGATGCTGCATTGGCATCTTCTTCCACAGGCACTTCCGAACCACCCAAAAAGGCCAGAAAAAAGTCACCAAACTCTGCCTCTAGTTCTTCTGATGATGGTGGTGATGCACATTCACCTGCAAGTAATGCTCCTCATCAATAGAATCATCTCTTGGGTACTCAGAGATCAACAATGGGTGTGATGGTGGCTGTTGTTGTTCAATTTTTTTTATGATTGATTCTCCCACTGAATTGATGGGAGATTTGTCATTAATCCATCACCACACCAACAATCATCACGATGATAATAAACATTCAACTTTGTACCAAATTCAACAAGTGCACTTTGCTTTTTTATTATGAATTTCTACACAGTCTTACTGTTAAGATCTTGGTCGCTCAAATTTGATGAAAAAACTTTGCAAAAAATTGATTTTTTCATCAATTTTTTTCATCAATTTCATTTTTTCCTTCATTTTTTCCATTGTTCAGTTTTTCACTCAGTCACGCTACTGAATGCCTCTACTGAAAAAATTAAAATCGCCATTCGGGTTTTTTCATACCAAATTTTAAAGCCATTTTCTGTTATGTTAAGAGGAAGAGCCATTTAGGTTGATATGAATGAGTGAGGAATTGATTTGGTGGATATGGATTGACTTGAAAATGGTTCTGTTTCGAATAATAAACGAATTGAAAAAGAGTAAACTTTATTGAGTGAATGAGAAATATTAAATAGGCAAGGAATGAAGAATCCTTGATCATTTGAATCCTAACACTTGTTGGACAATTGCATGAATTGATATAGAAACTGATCCATAGTACAATTACCACCTTAATCAAATTAGTGACTCTAGTCTCTAGAATATTTGAATGGCTGGTTCAAGGCGATGCAATTCCAATGGAAGTTGCGTAAAAAGCACAATCGGAATCGAGATCACAACATGTTGGAAACCATTTTTGAATGCAAGCTAAATTTGTTTGTATTGTAAACGGAATTACAAAATTTTAATTTTAAAATTTCCAAAAAAGTTTCCTCGGAATTTGAGATACAGGACTATAAATTCAATCACAACACTCTAATCCTTATTTTACACAACAAAAAAAACAAATAATACACAATCACTACTGCAAAACAAGCAACAACTGAAAATGAGCTCCAACAATCATCACAATAATAAGCAATTGGCCAGACAACACAGAACCAATAATTGGGTTGATACTTTCTTTGATGATCCATTCTTGAGAGCATTTGATAGATTTGATGATAGATTAGTTCCTGAATTTAAACCAACCACTGATGTTTCTGAAACTGCAAATGAAGTTAAAATTGTTTGTAATGTTCCTGGTATGACAAAGGATGATTTAAAGATTGATATTGATGAAGAGCATAGAACCATGACTGTCAGTGGTCATGTTGAAAAGGAAAAGAAGGAAGATAATGAAAGATATCACTGTGTTGAAAGATCACATGGTTCTTTCAGTAGAACTGTCTATTTACCACCAAATGCTGATTTTGATAAGGTCAAGGCAGCTTTGGAACATGGTGTTTTGAGAGTTACTATTCCAAAAGTAGTTGAAGAACCAAAGAAAAAGACCAGATCAATTGATATTCAATAATTGTTACTATTTTGTAAATAAATTTTTTGTAAAAATACGACCAATAAATTCTTTAAATTAATCTCTTTATTGTAAATTACGTTTACTTGGACTAGTTGGTGGTCGAACATCAACATCTTCGGCCAAGCTACTGCTTTGAAATAATCCAAATGATTTACGAAGAGAAAAACCAGAACTTGACATTGAACGAGCAGTTCTTGTGTGAATTTGACTCGGTGAGTGAAGTGGATTCGAGTAGAAATCGTCAAAATTGCGTTTTGATTTGTTACCTGTTGGAGAGCAAACTCTGAAATGTTGAGGAAACTTTTCAAAGTAATCAGTCTCATTACACAACAAATCAAAAGTAGATGAGGGAGTGGTTGGTGGGTTTGTCGTGTTAGAATTCTTAGAAGGAGAAGCTGGTGTGGAGTGTGGAGAATTAGGTAAAGGATGCAGAGATACTAATCCAGTTGAAATTAAATTGAAAATAATCTTTTGGAACGTATCCTTCTCTCCTCTAACACCAAGAATGTGAATGGAGGAAGTGCTTGTAGAACTTTGGTTGGCAGAATCAAGAGATTGAACAGGCATCTCTTTGGCTTCTTTTTTACAATGCTTAGCGAGTGCAAAAGCAGCATAGAAAATTGGAGGTCTATTCTTGGTATCGGCAGAATTCAAAACTTTGAGAGAGGTTGGTGTGTTTGGAATGAGGTTCTGAATTTGAATTATTGGAGTGTTAAATGAGGGAGATGAGGGCGGTGATTTAATTAGAATAGAATTGTATGAATCTCCATTCCTTGGTTGTTTGATAGTGATTGGAATGGAAGTAGTGGTTGTGGCACATGAAATTGAAGTCAGAGGAGAAGGAGGAGAGGTAATCTTGTTTTGTTCTTTTTGAGGAATGGCATTTGAGCACATTAATATAATTGTTTCTACAACATTGATTGAACCTTGTTTGCATGCCAAGTGTAAAGGGGTGAGACCAGTATTGTCTTTCATCATTAATTGCTCCATATAAAATTCTGTATCAAACATGAGAGCAATCAATCTGAAAAAGTCTGCACAATCATGGACTGCAGCAATATGAAGAGTGGTTCTCTTCATTGAGTCAATTGGGGCATGATTACTACCAGATGAGTTTTGAGATGAAATCTCTGCCATCAGCAAGTACATCAAGCATACTTGCTTTTCAGCTGGTGTTTTGGATACTGTTGATCGATATTCCTTGATGGCTAACATGAGTGGTGTCAAACCATTTTCTTCCTTTGCTTGAATAAGAACTTTTCCATGAGCACTCAATCTTAATTCCATATTGGAAGTGTCTCCAGTTAATATTGAACTAGTTTCTTGCTCTGGTGACATTGATGTACAGCACATATCTTGCAAACATTCTCTGTACATTAATTCATCCAAATCATGATCTGATTCATCAACTTCTTCTGTTTTTGACTTTTTCTTATTTCTCTCTTTGATTAATTCATTTCTTTCCAGGAGTAAAAGTTTCATTCCTTCAATATCATAGTTGGAAGCAGCTAAATGCAGTAAACTTCTGGAATTTGTCGACTTCTTCGTCCGTATTGAATTAGTTGGCAATATTCCCAACAAGAACCTCACAACCTCAAGTCTACCATTTTGCATTGCTAATAAGAGAGGAGTATTTCCAAAGATATCCCTACTATCCAAGCTCTCTTTTGCTTGGGAGAAGAGTAAATTGACAACTAAAACATTACCACTAGCAGCTGCATAATGGAATGGTGTGGCCAGAGAAGCATCTACACAATATTTGTCTACATCACTCCTCAGCAGTAGCTCCCTCGTAATGCAAATGTGTCCATAAGCACATGCCTTATGTAGAGCAGTTGCCCTCCTCTCATCTCTCACATTGATATCGAAAAAGTTGAAATCCTTGTTGTTGAAATCTTGTTCATGACTATTCCCAAGTTTTTTATCGAGAACATCTATTAATTGTTTGAATAATAGCAAATCTCCATTAGTACACGAATATAAGAAGAGGTGTTTCCATTCATAACCACTCAATTCGGAATACTCATTCTCTTGTGGTTTTCTTGTTTTTTGTTTTTTAGGTTGCTGATTCTGGTTTGATGTTGTTGTTTCATCAGTGTTAGTATTAGTGGTGATTGAAGTAGTTATTATTGTTGAATTTGCTGTATTTGATGAAGTGGAAACGTCCACAGTTTCGTCTAGATTTGTTTCGTCTGATGAGGCATTGAATACATTATTTTCTTCATAAAGTAAAAGTGAAGGAGATGTATTAGACATTGTTACCCCACTACTACTGAGTACTATTGTTGAAATGGACAAGTCTGACAACATATTGACTGAGACAATTGGCAGGCTTGTTTAATGTTTTATAAAACGGCAGCAGGGTGAATGCAATGTAATTTCTTTTTTGTTGGGCAAACGTTCTGTTTTGAGCAGAGCCGCCAACACGTAACATATTTTTGGCATAGACAAGTGACACAAAGCTTTTTAGAGAGATTGAGGTGCATTCCTTCCATGTTGATGCTGTGCCAACAATATTGGCGCCTTTTTAATTTACAGAGATGTCATTCAAAGAGGCCACAACCCTTCACAAGATGAACAATTGTTTGGTGATTATCTCCTTCCAATAATATATTTTTACAAGTAAAATGACTTACTGTTTAAGACATTCGCATATTTTGCTAGATATCGACATGTTGATGTATTATTTAGAGTATTAAATGTTATAAATCTGGACTAATGTGTCAACATGCAAAAATTATGAAATGACTTAATTGTTGCCGGCAGGACGAAAACAGAACCAAAACAGAGCCATTGCCATAATTTCATGTTCATGGACCAATATGTTTCTAGATGGTTCGAGTTTAATAATTGATGTTATTCTTAGCATTTGTTAACATTTTACAATTTTGTAACTTGATTCTAACAATGATTTGAATTTGTGTTTAAATCAACTAGCCATGTTCTCCAGTTCACTAGAAGTGATTAAGAATCTCTTATAGGAATAGTTTATTTTGAACATAATCTTTTAATAAACTAATGTTCAGATAACAGACCAATGAAAGTCATTGACTATGAACTGGTTATATTGTAAAAGTAATCCATTTTATTGTCTATTTTTCAACACCAAAAAAAATGAACAATTCACTTCTCCAACCCATCTCAAGTGATATTTGGAAACATCAGATATTTCCCTATCATTGTTATGCTGATTATATTTCATTGAAGAGGACATGTAGATTTTTGTATAAATTAATTATGAACAGTTCCGATTCTAAAAGATTGGAAGGGTTTTTAAAATTTTGTAGATTGATGCATCGGACTGATCATGATGAATATTTGTTCACTTATTTGGAGCCTATTAATGTGATGCCATTCTCTTGTAGAACTTCGAATACTCTTCCTGATTATTCTTCGCCAACAACTACTCCTACAACAAGAGTATTTCCTAATTTCTCAACTTATTATTTAAATTGGGAAGAATTTGAATATTTAATTGCTGTAATTCCTCATCATGAGCTGAGAAGGATATGGGATAAATTTATAGTTAGTCCTGTATTTAGAGGAAGATTGATAATATCTGAAGTTGACCGAGATGGGATTAGTGAAACAATTGTTAACAAAATATTGTTAAATGCTATTAAACAAGATCCTAGAAAGTTCAACTCAATCTCTAAATGGATTTCATGTACTTTACCCAACTTGTTATGTCAAATATCAGACATGCAAGAGCTGATGTTTCAGTTGATTTTAGATGGCGCACCAATAGCATTGCTCTCTGATCGACTCAGACACAACAAGGAATTTATAATAGAATTATTGAGGTACTGTAATATACCATTGAATGAATTGGAGGAACAATTTCAGTACGATGTTGATGTAGTTCTCCAATCAGTCTCCAATGATCCCAATAATTATACATTCTTATCCAATTCAATTAAATCAGAAAGATCAGTGACCATACAAATGATTAATAATGCATACAAGATTAAGGACTTTACCAATTCCAATAAGACTTTTGTTAGAATATTCGAAAAATATATACCTATGGTATTTAGAAACGATAGGGAAATTATGGAACTTTCACTCAGACAAGATTCCTCCATCATGCCTCTCGTATCGGATGCATTGAAGAATAATAAGGAATTTGTTGTGAATGCATTGAAAATTTCCACCACATGCTTTCCTCACATTTCCTTAGAATTAAGAAGTGATCCAGAAGTTTGTCTATTAGCACTGAGAAACTCAAATTCCAAAACCATGATCATGACACATATGAATTGTCTTCTCCTCTACGACGAAGATTTTATGAGAGAAATAGTATCTATTGATGGCATGTTACTTTCATATGCACCAAGTGCAGAAATCATACAGAATCGAGATGTTGTTTTAATTGCAGTAAAACAGAATGGATTCGCCCTCCAACATGCAGATAAATCATTGAGGAATGATGAGGAAATAGTGAGAGAGGCCATTATGCAGGACGGAGAAACAATCATGTTTGCTTCGGAAAGATTGCGAGACAATTTTGAACTAATGGCTGTAGCAGTAACTAAATCAAAAGTTGCCCTTCTCTATGCAAGTGAACGCCTCAAATCAGATGAAAATCTAGTTTCAATTTCAGTCTACAGTCACCCCAGTAGTTTAAAATTTGCCTCTGCACAGCTATTACAGAATAGCCAATTCATAGAGCATTTGATTAGAAATGGTGTGACTAACTATTGAGTGAGACTCACTAGGTATTGCGTTATAGAACTCTATTCATTGCACCAACAACAAACACAACAGTGTGGTTGCATTCTTAGGTTATCCTTCTAATGAGGCGGTGAGTATTCCTCTATCAACTACAGCGAACATCCATGAACAAACTACAGTACCCCTTAATTACTATTGTATTTCGCAAAAAGGAACGCTTTCAAAAAGTCCATCAATAACAGAGATTTTCCTTTTATTATAATAATACAATGCAGTACGGCAGAGATGTTGTCTAAATCGGAGTCAATTTGTGTTTATGGTGTTTGTTGCTGCCAAATGCGTTTTGAGATCATGAAACCTCATTTCAGACAGTGGACGATTTAAGTGTAGCCACCAGGTAAACAACACTAAAGTTTCTCTTCATGGCAGGTAAGCTTGACCAATTGGTGTAATAGCCTTCGATTTTCAAATTTTTCACTAAGTTCCTCAATCAACACCAGTTAAAACCCTTATTCAAACCAGCGATGATAGTGCGGAACAATTACATCCATCTTCATTGCCATTTAGAAACGATTCGTGATTGGATTGAAGAGAACGAAATGGACAGTAATCAGGTTACATTGCAATAATTTATTGTACGTCTTTGTAGTAACGATAACACATTGATAGATGATCTTATTATTCGGTGATGATTAATTTGAATGAATAATTGTTGTAACAGATAACAAGTGTTGTTTCCAGTTGCGAAGGTGCCGTGACTATGCCCAAAACAATTCGAATGGAAAGATAAAGTTGAATTTTTGACCAAATTTTGGCATTTTATCCGCTCGCATCCTTTTTGATTTGGGATAATTCCACCACCATTCACTTAAGGTCAGAGCACAAATGGGTTTATGTTATTAATAAGGCATCACCGAGGACATACTCACAACCTTCTCTCTTCACAACTGCATCTATTGCACTAATCTACAACCAGGTAACAACTAGGTAACAAACACTAAAAACACTAGTAAACTATGATGAACCACTTTAGAAAAAGGAAACACTACCAACAAAAAATCACAACTAGAAGCAGCCATCAATCTTTTCGCTACTATCACACTATTTGAAATACAATAGATCCAAATAACCAGGTTACCTCCATCCATTTTCTCAATACTCATTGGTTGTTGTTTGTCCTTACCCCTCTTTGTTTGAGAAAAAAGAAAATCACCAACACAACCTCCCACCCCTTTGAATGCTTCTTTAATGCATTTAACCACTAATTCATAACATTATCATCATCATCATGTCTACATTTGAAAATACATCCAACTCTTCTACTAATATATCTGGTCAGTCAAAGAAGAGTGTATCCTCACCGACATCATCTGCTGATCAATCTCTTCGTGTTGGTACAACCACAGCAAGTAAATCACAACATGAAGAGTTTGTCCAACATCCACCACATGTACAACAAAGTTATTCTTCAACCACATCTGTAGCATCACACCATGAAGCCATGTCTACCAATAATACACATGCATATAAAAGCATGTCTCCTTCCTATGCAAGTCCAGTCCATCATGTTGGTCCTATTGCCACTAGTACTATTACTACTAACTATCAAAATAGCTCCACAACCGATAGTTCTCAACAAGGAGCAATAAGCAACCATCGTTTATCCAATCATAGAAACTCTCCGCCAACAAGTGCATCCTTCATTTCCAGAGGCCAAACTTTTGTCCAACAAGAAAATGAATCAAACCACTTTAATAACAACACAACAAAAACATCCAACAACCAACACGTTCCTTCTTCATATCCATTGCATCATCAACATTCTAGCATGGTGAATGGTAACAGTGTTGGTGGAAACGGTACTACGACAAATCATTCTAACAACAATATGGCAAGCATTCATCACCACGATCAAGACAAGATTGCATATCATTCAAATCAAAGTATGAATAGTACTAATGCATCATACAGTATGAACACTAATTCATTTGATAACATGGGTTCGAGATCAATTTCACATTCATCAAATAATGCATCTATACATGATAAAAATCTATTACCTTCTCTTCATATATTGATGGATCCTCCTACTTCAACCTCACCAAGTAATCCAATTCCACATAGTAATAACTCTCGTGTCTATGCACCTCCTAGCAGTAATCCTAATAATGGTCACATGCGTCAATCTTCATCAAATAATTTACAACAATCAAATTATAATATGAATCATCAACCCCCAATCACACCAATTCCTTATTCACAACATGTGAATGATTATCCTCCAACTAATCATGTTCCTCCTCCATACATTAACAAGGCTTCACATCACATAGACATGTTTTCAAATCCACCAAATAATAATATCATTAAATCCTCACCATCATCATCTAACATGGATACAATGTATGCACCTCGTCCTATCAGGAGTAGGAGTAATACAAGTGGTCCTAATAATGCATCATTTAATTCTCCTCAATCATCCTCTGTTAATAATCATCATCAAAATACTGACAGTACTGTTTACTCATTTGAACAACCAGCCAAAATTAAAAAGAAGAAAGCCCTTCCTTCTTCTAACGACGATTCGAATGATGCAGATAAAAAGAATTGGAAAAAGAAGAGATTATTTAGTATTGATGAAGTGACAGATCTTGTTGCATTTGTAAAACAACGTTCCGAGAATCAAGAATTAACACGTGATGTTAATTATGCTATATTTAAGGAATATGAGAAATTACAAGATGAAAGAAGAAGAGCAAGTGTTTATAGAAAGAAATATGTGCAATTATTTGAAAGACATTTGATTTCAAAAGACGGCACAATTGACCCTTCACTCTTCCAAGAATATGATCAAAGAACATCTTCTACTTCTAAATCTAAAGGCTCACATCCAGAAGATGCTCAAGAAAAGAGAAAATTCTCTGATGTTGAAGAGGATTCTAGCTCTGAGGGAAGTAATATTGAAGAAGAAAAGAAAACAAAAAAGCTTAAGAGAGAATACTCTGATGAGGAAGATGAAGAAATAGAGAATGCATCCCCATCTGAGGAAAAGAAAAAGAATATGAATATTTGTGTATCATATAAGGGAAAGAATTATTTACATTCTATAGAGAAGCAAATTCTCCAAAATTCAGATTCAATCCACAATTATTTCAACCAATTGGCAGTCTCTTCATTGTGTTACAACAGCGATACAGAACTCATTAGAAGCGAGTCTATTGAATACTTTGACTATTCATTTGGTGAATTCATTCAAATCAATTCATTTTCCATTACTAGGGTTCTCAAAAGCAGTCCTGTAAAATTGAGAATAAACTAAAATTGTATCCTAATTTACTTTTTTAGAATATGATGAACAATTTAAAATATTTTCTCTAGTTAGCATGCGAAAGGTAAATTCGGCAAAACGACATCAAACCAGTCAATTAAAAAAAATGAAACGAATCGTAACCTACGAGCATAACAATTCGAAACTTATTCTCTTCTTCTTATTATTGGCAGCTATCATCATCTACATCTCTAACTTTGTAAATTGTGATTGTTCATGGAAACTTCTTCCAAGATGCAAAACTCCAAGAAAAACCTATCGACCAAAAACCAATGGATGTGGTCCTCAACAACAACTTCTTTCAGGACTATTAAATGTTGTCACTTCTTCAGTTTCTAGAGAATTTGTCGAATGTTGCAACCAACACGATCGTTGCTATGGACAGTGTGGTGTTTCAAAATCGGATTGTGATAAACAATTCAGAGCGTGTATGATCAACAAGTGTTATCTGGATCTTGCGTGTCGACTGAAAGCTTTTAGTTTATTCAATGCAGTCAGTCGACCAAATCCTTGGAGTTGTAGAGCTTACATTGGAGGTCAGATTGCCGCCTGTGATTGTTCATCACAACCAACAACAAACAATCAAACACCACAAGAAGAACAACCAATTTCCTTACCAGAACCTTCTGTTAAATTATATCGACTTAAAATCAATTAAGACAAGTGAGGCGAAACTAAAAGTTGTACATTCTTGGAAAAATTCTTCCGAAATCTCAACGAGGAATTAATCATTAAGGATATCCGCTCCTCAAGATTCATCAGGTCCAAATAATATAATAGGATTGGACTCCTCTCGGTGTACACCGGTGTACTTGAGTGGAATGAGGAAATTTTACTGTTGAAAATTCAGATAATATTTTGGCCGTATTGAATCTTAATTATAACACGGCCAAATTATTTTATATAAATTTGGGGTTCCACAAATAAGAATATATTAACTTCTATTTCAACACAGTGAAAAGTTTGTAAATACCATTACAAATATTATCAAGCTGCTTAAGATTAAGGTTTTAAGGAAATGAATGGCTACGGCCATATCACGATGAATGCACCTCATCCCGTCCGATTTGAGAAGTTAAGCATCGTCGAGCCACATCAGTACTGAGGTTGGAGACAACTTGGGAACCTGTGGTGCTGTAGTCTTTTTACTTTCATTATTATAATAGTGCAGATTGTAAACGTAAAGGCGAACTGACTTGGGTTTATTTTTTGACACCTCTACCAGCGCCATGTTTAATAACTGTCATAATACTAAGGAAAATTTTATGATAAGTAATCGAAAAGAATTGTGAAATCGGGTGTGGTATAGTGGTAGCATTCCAGACTGTCACTCTGGCGACCCGGACCTCCTACTCGAGTAATAATTTTATATTTTCTAGTTCAATATTTATTATTTTTAGTTCAATTTTCATTTTTTGGTAGTTTAGATATTTTACTTGAATATTGTGTTTTTATTTTTTTTAAAATTTCTTCTATTTCCATTTTTAGAAGCCTCTGTTTGTACCACATTTTTTTTCACAGAGACAGATAGGTTATAGAAATTATCAAATTTCTAAATTTCATCACCATCGACAACATAATATCAGATTAGAATCTTTCATTTTCGAAATGGTGTTTTAGATAAAAAGCCTAAATGCTAGTATAATTAAATCTCAATTTATTAAATATATATTAACCATTTTCAATGTCTACATTTTTAATCTATTGATTTGGAAGTCTGAAATTCATTCTATCGATGTATAACCACAATTTTCTTGAATCAATTTCTAATGGACAAGCATATGGAACATTCCAATCATTGGCAGTTTTACTACCCCATGTATGACTTAATAGTTTGACAGTTGAAGTGTAGAGAGCTGGATTCATTCTCATCTTTTGTTGCATTGGCAAGTAGTAGAACTCAACCATTGATCCAAACCCTCCACCAATGTTTGAGAATTGAACTTGAGAAACTGAGTTACCATCGAAACTAATTGGACAGCCAGCGAGAGAGGAATATTTGAATAGCTCATTAAGCAATTGATCGCAGTCTTGATCTGGAACACAGTTTTCAACAACTACATATCCGAAACGATGGAAGAAATCAATGTGCTTTTGAGTTAGGAAATGATCATTCTCTTTCAATATTTGACTCAAGATGCTTGAGTTTTCTCCATTTTCTTCCATAATACTTTCGTATGGTTTCTCATTATAAAGACATTCACCTAATGGGGTCAATGGTACTAAATCATTTTCTGGGTGCAAATACATTTGCTCAACTCTAAACTTGGTTCCAAAATCATCTGGATGTTCAAAAGTCTTTCTCTTTTCTCTCAATTTCTCAATTGTGTTTCGGTTGACTGGATCTGTACAACTGTAAGCATGATAAAACACTGAACGAGGTCTATCCATGTGATTGGCGTCTGAATTTCTGTGAGCCGTTCTGTTATCAAAAAAGATGAAATCTCCCTTCTTGATTGGAACATATTCTAAAGCATCATGCTCCTTTACAATCTTTCTCATATAGCCCAACATTTCGTCTGCATTCTCCAACTTGGTCAATTCAGAGCTTGGTGAAGGAGCTTTCCATTCTTGAGGAATTCTCTTAACTTTTCTAACCATTTCAAACAATGGCTCATCTTCCTCTTGATTAAATCTAATGTGATAAGAACTAATCCATGGAGATTTAACTCTGAAACCTTTTCCATTTCTAACTTTTTGATCCATGGCAGGAAAATATCTTTCTGCAACGGAGGCAAATCCAGGAATTACTTCCAAACCTCCTTCTTTCTTGTTTGGATCAGAATCACCATCTGTTAAACAAACCATAGATTGAAAAGGTCTGAATCTGTCCAATTCTTCATAGGTCATGTCAGATTTTAATTTTTTCCACAAATTGTAAGGCCAAGAATCCAAATGAAGACCAGTTCCTTTTTGAATAAGGAGGGCTTCTTCTTCTTCTGTGGTTTTTACCTTTTGTGGTTGTTGATTAGTAGTGCTCATAGTAGTGCAAGTTGATTTTGGGAATTTTTTTTGAATTGCCAAGATTTTCAATCGCGCTGTACTATTTTTTATTTAAAATCTATTTTTACTTTACAAAATGGACATTGTAAAAATAGTTCGGAATGGAATATTATAATTTTTAATCAATTAGAGAAGTATTAGCATGACGTCAGTTTTTCAGAGGTGGGTACTTTTCCTTTGTTCAAATTATATGAAAAAATAAAAACCTCATCTTTGAAATGCTCCAATTTTCGACCACCTTAATATTCTTGGCTGTGTGGAAAATTTGGTGTTTTATTGTAATGGTTTTAGGAATTCGCTCGGCTAGAGGATTTCCAGACCAGTTTCATAGGAAATTATGTGCGATTGGGAGAAATTTCTCTTTTCAAGATCAGCTAATGCTATTGAAATGCTTAGTGTTATGTTAGCCTCATCAAAATCTGTAAATGTGTTTGAAAAGAGAACAATCTTATCATCTTTGTAAATATCCAAATTAATGTGGTCTCTCTCATCGTTGAAACTGAATTCAAAACAGGGAACCAAAGAGGAGAAAGACCGTTTAGAAGCAGGATTTTGAAGATAAAATATCTCACAAGGTGCATCCATGTTAACAACAAGCTGTTCCTGTTTGACAATGTGAGGAGAGTAAGGAGTTGGTAGTTTGAAAGTTTTGTCACTCAATTTGAAAGGTATCAAAGTTTCAGAATTCAAATCCAATTGATCAAAATAATGGAATATTTGCCTATTTTCTTCACGATTGTAGAAACAATAAAGCAAGCCACGTTTTGGAAATTTTCTACATGAAATAAAACTTGAATACTGAGAAAAATCTAAAAGAGCAACAAGAAACATATTCTCTCCTATCTTACTGAACACTTCAAATTGATCTTTTGGAATCATTACTGTTTTCTCCACTTGCTCTTGATTGAATTTTGTGAATTTTTTGTGCATGTCTCTTGTACCTGCAATACCTAATAGGAGGTTTTTTTTAGAATTGCAGAATAGGTCCTTATAAGAAGAATATCCATTATTTCCTCTGAATAGCTTTTGAAAATATTTGGCAAACCTATCTTCTTCGTGCATATCTTCCAAATCTCTCATAAATTTCAAATGTTTTCCAACAAGTAAAAAGTACAAACTCTTCCAGTCGTTTTGGTCATAAAAATAATTAATAACTTGTTGATTGATATGCAAAGGTTTGACATATTTTCCTCTTTCTAATATCTGGTCCAATTCTTGAAGAGTGAAAGTAGAATCACAATATTTGAAAATATTTTCAGCTATGATTGAGTTGTGGGTCAGATTCTTCCAAATCAAATTATTATTCATTATGAAGTGATTCCACTGCTTACAGACTAATCTCATCTGTAAAAGAATTTCCTGTGAATCGAAGTGTTCAAGAATAACACTGTGTACTTCACTAGGAATATTAGAAAAGGCAATTGTATCTATCTTTTGGTTGATGCAAATTGACGGTAATTCTTGATTATATCCATAGAATAATGTCATGTCAACAAGTGGAATCATATCTATGTGACAAAAAACAGTCATTCTCAATTCCTCATCAGCAGCTATTGCAGCATGCATGATTCCAGATGAAATACATGGGGAATTAATATCTACAGCCTGATTTCCTGAGAGTTCAAGTATTTCTGCAGCCAAATAATCCAATATTGAACCAATACCTTTGAAATATAAATTCACATCTTGCTCATCTTCTCTAAGTATTGAAGGAGAGTAATCAAAATATTTCAAAACAAAATCTTGCATCTTTTTTTCATTAATACCAAAGAGTTTCATATTTTCACCACTTTTCAGGGAGGTCAAATTTTTTTGTGTCTCTTTGGCAGCAAAAATTTTCAATTCATTTGGCAAGTATTTTTCAGTCAATTGGTCAAAATAGTCATGCAGTGAAAATTTACCACTCAGTTTAACCCTCTTTTCTCCGTCATATGAATCATCAGCCTTTTTAGTGGCCAATTGTTGATCGTCAAGCAATTTAACATCATGTCCAATAAATAATTGATTATTGAAAAATTGTTTAGAAAATTCAACATGTCTGTCAATACAGAATTTCCTCAACATTTGCACATATTCCTCCTTTCCCAATTTTACCTTGAAAAGTTTGGGAGTATCAATAATAAATGTCCACATCATGATATTTAGAAAGTATTCTAATTGTCTTGATGCTTCCTTAGTCAAGCTCGTGTCTCGGAAGTACATTATCTCCAATATTTTGTTTAAATCATAAATATTGTTGTGAGAGCGAGAGGATGACCATATTTCATCAGAATCGAGTGGAAAGAAATCTATTACTGATGGCATTTTTTTAGTTTTTAAATATTTTAAATATTTTAATTACAAAATATTGAGTCACTCTATCACATAAGTCGACATGCCTTTACAATACAATTGTTTAGTTAGAAATTCCAAAGATGAAGATGATCGGAAATTCAATTAAATCAAGCAAATGATCGGAATTTATTTGTGCTGAATGCACTAGTAGTTTGTTCGTGCGAGCATAAATAATTGAACGCACGAGCTAGGTTTTCCGAACTATTCTCAAGCAACCAATTCAGAAAACAATTTAAAATCTCAGTTTATTTAACAGCAAATTTCAAACAAAAACAAACAAAACAAAAGCAACAAAACAAAATCAACAAAACAAAATGACTAGAATTATTGCTGTTACTGGTGCCACAGGTTATATTGCCGGACATATTATCAAAGAATTGCTCGAACATGGACACAATGTCAGAGCAATTGTGAGAGATTTAACCAACAAGAAAAAGTATGAATATTTGAAACAATTTGTAAAGAATCAAGATGATAAACAGTTGGAATTTGTTGAAGCTAAAGGAAGTTCCATTGAGGATTATGCTCCAGTTTTGATTGGAGCTGATGCAGTCATTCACACTGCTACACCATTTGTAGTTACAGCAGAAGATCCTCAACGTGATATTGTTGATCCAGCTATTAATTTGACACGAGCTGTCATTCTTGCTTCAATTAAAAGTAAGGTAAAGAGAGTTGTTGTTACTAGCTCAGGTGGTGCATTCCTCAATAACCCAATTCCAGATAATTATACCTACACTGCTAAAGATTGGAATGAATCATGCTCCTTGACCAATAATCCATACTTTTATTCCAAGACACTTGCTGAGAAGGAAGCTTGGAAACTCTATGAAGAACACAAGAGTGAATTTGAGTTGGTTGTTGTAAACCCATTGTATGTTTTTGGTCCATTATTGAATGGTGAGCTGAACACCAGTGTTAAACATGCCTTGGCCTACTTGATGGGATACACTCAAGAGGTTTATCCAATGAGTACTGGATTTGTTGATGTGAGAGATGTTGCCAAGGCACACGTCATTGCTGTTGAGAATCAACAAGCAGCTGGACAGAGATTATTCTGTTGTGATTCAGTTCATGCAATGGAAGATCTTCCAAAAGAAATTAAGAGACAATATCCTCAATACCCAATTGGAGCATTCGAATTCAATACCAAGGCACAATTATTCTCAATCGATGTTGAACCGTTGAAGAAATTTGGACTAACACAATACATTGGATTTGAACAAATGGTCAAGGATACAATCGAATCACTCATTCATTTTGGCCTTGTTGAGAAGAAATAAATCTATTTCTACAAAAATATCAAACCAATTGATATCGCCAGAAGATGATAACCAGTAGGTGCAAATTCAAAATCTTCACTTTTCTAAGCGATTTTAAAAAAAATACAACAAATTCTTTTCTTCCGTTGCTACACTAGTAATTGTTCAATAACAAGATGGATAACAAGGAAAATAATTCATCACTACAAGAAAAGCATCTCTTGGAAAAATCACCAAAAGATATGACTCATGAAGAGTTGGTTAAAATTGCCACTCTCTATCAAGAGGAAAAGAGAAAATCGGAATCTGGAAACAAGCAAAATAAAAAGAAAAAGAAGAAGAAGGAGCAAGTTATAGATTGGAGTACACAGACCTATAGACACATTGCTTTAAAGATTGCCTATCTTGGTTTTAATTATCAAGGATTATCGAAACAGCTTCACACTCCCAACACAATTGAACATCATCTTTTTGAAGCTTTGAAAACTTTAAAACTTATAGAGCACGAGGATAATTGTGAATTTACTAAATGTGGAAGAACTGATAAGGGTGTCTCTGCACTTGGTCAAGTTGTCTCATTCAATTGTAGATATAATCCAAAGAAGAATGACTATGTTAGACTCATCAATAGTTTACTTCCAGACGATATTAGAGTATTAGCCTGGTGTCCAGTTTCCAAAGATTTTGATGCAAGATTTGGATGCCTCCAAAGAACATACAAATACTATTTCATACGACAAAATTTAAATATTGAAAAGATGAAACAAGCTGCTGCTCATTTTGTTGGTGAGCATGATTTTAGAAATTTCTGTAAAATTAATGAAGAGGTAACAAACTTTAGAAGAAGAATTTTGAGTATGGAAATTATCAAATCTGATCTATTACATCAGCAACATGGAAATGATGAGTATTTTGAAATTTATGAAATTGTAGTTTGTGGAACATCATTTTTGTGGCATCAAGTTAGATGCATGACAGCAATTCTATTCCTTATTGGTGAAGGAAAAGAGGAACCTTCTGTCATTCCAGAATTATTAGATATTGAAAAGTACAAGGCACGTCCAGTTTATCATATTGCATCAGAATTTCCACTTGTTTTATATGATTGTGTTTTTGAGGATTTGAAATGGATTCACACCAATGACATGATTTCATCTCAAGCCGATTTAACAAATCATTTCTATGAAATGTGGAGAAGTAGTTCATTGAAATCGACCATGTACAACATCTTTTATCAAGCTGCAAACAATACTCTAGTGGATAATAGTAATACATTTGGAAAAGATCTCAATACTAATGTGGATTCGAACACTGAAGATGCAACAAGAAAATATACAACTGTCAAGAAAGCTGTCAAGGCTATGAAACCAATTCAGAGAGGTCCCAAATATGTCAAGTTATTAGAAAGGCCAAGAGCCTTCTCTTTAGAGGAGTGTGTTGAAAGTTCCAAGAAGAAAAGAAAACAGTAGAACAATATTGGAAGAAGAACAATATTGGAAGAAGAATGTTTAATAAACAATTAACATTTTTAGTCATGTTGGATGTTGCAAAACACATTGTAAAGTCTATTCATTCTTCATTTGTTACTCCTTAGATAATACACCGATCTACATTAAAGATGTCTTTCCTTAATTGATGATTTTAAAGATCTATTTTTTTTCTATTTCGTTTGGTGAAAACCAAAACACATTGAAATAGAAAGGTCACAAAAATTGAAGCAAACAAGGAAATCATTCAAAACGCAGCGAGATATTTGTTGTAAAAGTGGCCTTAATAAAGCACAAAAACCATTTTCTCCTGCAACCACAGAAAACCCTCAAAATCAATAAATTCATAGACAAAGTTGTAAGGTAAAGGTCACCTCAAAGTGGTTTCTGAAATGGGCCTTTGAGAGAGCGAGTGAGCTGAGAGGGTTGCAAATTTTGACGCTCACACTAAGCAGCATGCATTTCCCTTTCAACACTGAGCCACACGACGCACTCCAAAACTCCTTCAGGTAATGATTCCAAGACGGTAAAAGTGGAAACTCACACTCAAAAAAAAACCCTCTTCCACACTCATAGTCAAAGAAAAGTGTCTTTGAGTGGAATAATTATCATAATCATTAACACATTATTCTGTCGTACTACTCCTTTCGAAACTAGTTTAACGAGGTTTCAACATTAATTCAGCCACCTTCTCAATTATTTCTCCTCATCGTGCATACCACCTTCGAGGTTGATATTTTTGTGCCAACCCTCATTTTCCCTTGCCAAACGGATCACCACTCCTACCTGTACTGAGTTTGGAGCAGTCATTATAATCTAAATCACACTCTTTAAAAAAATTGTTGCTACATCACAACTTTAGTTTGGAGAAGATATTGAACAACAACAGTCCAAGAAGAACATCATCATCGAGTAACAAATATTTGTAATGCCGAAGGAATCAAAGAAGAAGAAGAATAATACTAAAATTGAAATCACTCACGAGATGATGGTAAGTAAACGAAATTCACATCCGTCGTCAACTTTATCATAATGTAAAGAAACCATACTTTTACTGTCCTCAAACTCTTGCTGCAAGATTATTGGGAGTCAGCATTAGCACATTGAAGAGAAGATTTTATGATCTCCATATTGGAAGGTAAGTTTTCCATACTGGAATCAGCCCAGTTCAATTATTGTTATTACTATTATATTGTAACACGTCATTTATATTTTTCATAATAACCAACATGTTTGTAAAAACTAACACGGTTTCTGAAATATTTCACAATCCAATACAATTCTGTTACTTGATCGTTAACAATATAGATGGCCATATCAATGCATCTCTTTAAGTGAAAGAAAGAAGAGTATCTACTTTCTTATGAATGAAACTGAACCTGAGGATGAAAAGGAAATTGATGAAAAGACAATGCATCACCTCAGACATGCATTCAAAGATGCTAGTAAGCCACTTCTCTCAATGAATGTTAATCAAACCACTCAATTCCACTTTTGCTCATTCGTTGCTCAAGAAGAAGAAAATGCCAACTCTGACCATTCCAATTCCTTCCAAGAATCCAATGGAAAGGCCTTCACTGCACAAGGTCAAGCTCCACATCTTGGTGGTGGCAATGGAAAGAAGATTGTTATGCGTGAGATGGAACTTGGTAAAAAGGAAATGATACAACGTTCCAAGTCATCTCATTCATTGAGTTCTCTTTCTGGAGATAACCATCCACCCTACCACCCTTACAACTCCCCTGCTTTGACCGCTTTTCCATTGAAAAAGTCTTGTGCGGTCAGTGATAATGCTTCCAATATGTTGACTAATACCTATACTACTCAACCTCATGGTATTAGTGCATTATCATCTAACATTAAGACTTTTTCACCTACCTCACCACACGGTGTTTGGCAGAGTTGCAATACTATGAGTTTGTCAGTTAACTATCCTTCACAATGTTACGTTTCACAACACTCACCATTGAGTTGTGGAACAACAAACTCTTCCTCTCCAAATTCTCCTCCAGCAATAATGTTTGGAATGGGTCACGAAAATCATGTCATTTTGCCTGAGATTCGTATTCAAGACACCATTCAACATTAAGCTGTGTTGGTGACAAATTACATCATTGAATTCAATTGCATTCAATGATGAGCATTTATATATACCTCAAACTCTGTGTATTCCAGTTGGAGAGGACGAAAACCTAGCTGTAATTTATTGCTATCAATTACAGAATGTTGACAGTTCAACTCCATGAGAACCTTCTCTTTAGCTGTGGAATACAATCAGTGTAAACAACAACAAAACAATCCTAATAAATTATTTATTCACTTAAAAAGATCTTTTGAATGGTTTTATAAGATTCGGTTTTTATTGAGCGACTACAGCTATTTACTGTAAAGATTTAGGTGGGTACGGCGACATAAAATCCCCATTTTATTGCTCGAGATCTAAGGAATGATCTTAAAAGTGTTTTCAGGTAATTAGCGAATTCATTTTCATTAAAAGGATATGGGTGATCGATCTCCTTCACCAATCTTACTGCATAGGGAATAAACATTCAGGTTGAGCAAGAATCTTAAAACCATACGATGCAATTATTTTTTGTGATTGTGAAATTCTATTGGTGATGGTTCACATTATCTGAAAGTGATTCTGCACTGCTTTTCAAATCCACTTCTCGTTTGAATTAAATACTGTCATCAATTATCGCTCATTGTCTACACTTGGAGGAACATATGACAACTCAATGAAGAATTTTTGTAATTCAGACATATTGAAGAATTGAGAAAATGTTTTTTAAATCCATGACCATCTCTTTCTAAGGGAAAATGTAAAGCAGTCAGTCCAAAAGAATTTGTTAAAATTGTGTGGAATCTTAATATTGATTTTCAATCCACTGTAGAGCTTTTAATTCTGAAATATGTTAATTGACCATAAACGCGCATCATTCGCCAACCTGTCAACAATCATGCCATAAATCCTTAATTAAACGCTGCTAAACATTCCAGTTGCATTAATCCAATAATTGTAAAGGAAGAGGCTTTGTTTCGAATGCTAATTTCTTCAGTTGATTCCCAAAGGTTTCGATGGTGATGGAATTTTTTTGAGTTTTCTATTGAAAAGATGAAACAATTATTTGCTTCGACACTCCTCAGAATAAGCAAACTCAAATAAAACAATGTGGTCAGAGGTTTGGATTTCTATTGATTAAACAAATAGAAATTAACCCAAAAAAGAGCAACTCCCGTTCGATCCCAAAACTAAAAAGATTCTTGTCATAAATGGTCAGGATTTCAACCGATCTAGATTTTGTTAGATATCAAATCAAATATTACATCCTGCCGCTATCCAGGCAAGAATTCATATGTTAACCCAATGTTAATGGTACTTAACTCTTTTCAAATCAATTAAGAAACAGATCTAAGATTTCTTCCGCTTCCATAGAACTAGGAAATTGTTTACCAAATACTCAACAAAAGAAAGCAACTCCACACCATCTAGAGGAAGAACATCCTCAAATTCTAGCTGTCATCATTTGTCTAATTTTGAGAATGGTAATCCAATAGAAAAATAATATCTAATTTTTAGGAACAAGATAACGGATTGGAAGTGTAGCATGTTGGTGATGACTCTTTTCTCATTGAGTGGGCTGTGCTTAATTGAAACATCAGAAATTCAGTTGTAGTTACTGAATTGCAAAGTTGAAGATTCACATCATCGATCCTTCTCTCCACAACAAGAGGAGAAGAACCAAGTCAATTTTTGCTAAAATGTTCATTTCCTTGAAAATGATGTTGTTGCTTGTGTTTAAAACTCATTGTATTCTACAGCTCATTGAGAAGGTTCTTTTTGTGAGGATGATAATTGCCTCCGTAATCAAGAGTCAATAGTAACTTTACACTACAGGAAGATAACCAGCACCCAGGTAGTGAGAATAGTGAGAAAATGAGAGTTGTGTGTAAAGGCTCATTCAAAAGCCTCATGAATGGTCCAGAAATGATATCGTAGTTGAATATTAGGATGCTCCAAGGTCAAGATACGGTTTTTATTGAGCGACTACAGTTATTTACTGTAAAGATTTGTGGTGGGTATTATGCGACGCAAAAAAATCACCGTCTCAGTTCAGTCATCATCCAATCCTGGACAAAACATTCGAGTCAACTCGTTGCCAAAAATGCATTGACTTTCTTTGTGAGTTATAGACAGTCATCCTTCACTATTTTGCATTCCTTCCTTGGTTCTAATGTTGAATTACAACGAAACGCAGAGTAATCATTAGCCAAAGATTTGTATCGAATCCTTTAAAGATTTCTTCAGTTCCACTTGCTGTTTTCGAAAAATTTGACGCTCAACCCCATCTAAGCCATTAAAAAATCAGATTATGCCTTCGTTTAAATACCATTTATGGATGGCGAACAAATAAAAAACCAGAATCTCAGTTTGCAACCCAGAAATTTCTAACAATATCGTTGTATTCTTCGTTGATGGATTATGTTGTTGATTAGCTGCATCTAATCATCAAGAGATATGAAATAATAAATAGAAAGACTTGCTCCTTACAAGGTTTGTAGATTTCAGTTAATTTACATTTTACCTCGTATCATATACCAATGTTTGACCTTCATACAGCAAAAATATCAAAACCCACGCTACAAAAAACAGAGATTGCAATAAAGCATCTGGAGTAATTCCAAATGTGTAAAATCCTTCGCCCTCTAGTGACCATATTTAGATAGAATCAGCGAAAATTTTTGGTCGTGCCTATTCCACATAAATTCTGGCCCACACAGAAAAACAGCAACATGAAGCATAAATGAAAATCCGTACAGATGCATTATAAAACCCTCTCCGAACCATTGGCTCACTCTTCTCACTTTAAAAAAACAAAACAACAATAACAACTATCACTGACCACAGTAATACTACTATTACGTGTCATTTCAAAGATACTTTAAACCACCGCAATTATTTCACTCTCTCACGTGTAAGCCAACTAAGTAACCTTCCAAACACAAGAAAAATCAAAAAGTTACCAACCTACTACTGCTAATACCCAACACAATGATCAGTCAACATACCTCATTAAATTATTCATCGAGTAATACTAATACATGTATTCCATCACATTATAGCAGACCACTTTCACCTCCAACTAATACATCACTTCCTTCGATACATTCCCTGAAAGAATTTTCTCATCAACCACAATACTCTCAGAGTTGTCCAGTTAGAACAGCAACCCATACTAATTCACAATATCCTCACCACTACTATCCTTTGACCCATCACCATACTAATATTGATCAACAATATGCCTATGCCCCTGTAAATAATACTACCAATCTTTACCATAATAACAGTAATAGTAGTCATTCAGATGCTCTGTCGAGTGAAGACAGCAACACATCTAATCAGCATGTAAATAGAACTTCTCCTTCCCCAATTAAAGTTAAGAATAACAAGTCAGATAACAAACAAAAAGTGAAATCTCCAAATACTACTAATGCTCCTAATACTACTAATGGTATCAAAAAGAAGAGAAAGACTAAAAAGAATAAGATTATCATTGCAACTTCTGAATTGGTTAGATGCATGACTTTACCACAAACAGTAGCTGCTAAAAAACTGAAAGTTTCTCTCAGTACTTTGAAGAGACGTTTCTATGAATTGAGTGTTGGAAGATGGCCATCAATTGCTCCAACAAATGAACCTGGATCTTCCTCAAAGACTGAAGAAGACATGTATGTGGAAAGTACAGATGCTACACCAGAACAAAAACTTTCACTTTCATTCATTATGAATAAGAAAGAATGTCCAGAATCGAGTGTAATTGATAATCTTTCAATGGTCATTCTGAAAGTTGCCTTTACTTTAAACACAAACGAAGAAAAATAAATTAATTGTACATTGTAAAAATCAACTTTAACTGTTTCTACATTGAAAATCTCTTTGGATAATGAAATATTCAAATATTCAAATATTCAAAATTATTCGTTTCGTTAATATTCTCAATTTATTGCACAAAACGCTATTCAAAAATATTCAGAATCTTTTTGCGTTAAAAAAATTTTGGATACCTATCATCAGAATCACACAAGACTATCACGCACCAAGAAATTTTTTTATTCTTGCTGCCCTCTCCTCTTTCCTTCAGAAGGACGACACAACAAGCTATTACCACAAAGAACACCCGATTATACAAAACACATTTATTTGTTGAATAGTAGTACTTGTTCTCTCTTACATTTCCCACCTAAAAAGATCTTTTGATCTAATTCCATACCCTATTTTCATCGTCATCATTGCTCCTTCTCCTTTTTAAAATTCCATAACAATTCCCTGTAGAAATAACTTCTTGCTACAATGAATAAGAGAAAATTTGATGAAGAGGAAGTTCCTCAACAGGAAGACCCTCTTAATTTTGTAGCGTTAGACTCCACTCTTAATCCTGCACAATTCCCAACAACAACAATAACAACAACAGAAAATTTAATTTCCACCAATACAAGTAACTTAACTTCCCATCCAACCGACTCTTCCAATCCTCATCCCAACTCTGATCAACTAACACCTAAAAAGAGAAAAATTAATAGTATTTCTCCTAGTGATTTAAATCACATTCACACATTCACTCCAGACTCTACAACATTGGATTTTAGAATTATGAATTTAAAATCAGCTTCCAGTTCTGCACCAGAGGATGAAGGTATTCATGATCCGAATATACCTGAAATAACATCTTCAGTAATGAATGACGATAGCATCTTTTTTGATAATGAATTAGATGAAAGTCTTTACCTTTCTTCAGCATTTTCTTCCACAGAACGTGAAGAAATAAGAATGCAAACAAAGAAATTTATTGAAATTCAAAAATTGAATGAACAACAATATGTTCAACATGCTGTTAAATATGTAAGAAGTATTTCTGAAGTCAACAGAATTATCAATGTTGGAGAATGGTTCGGTACAGAAGAGCTAGAAGAATCCTTTGTTCAGGGCATTACACCCTCCCAAAGTCAAGAAAATTTCAAAATTCCACAAGTCTCCTTGATGAATGCAACAAATCCAAAAGCTCAAATTTCTTCAATAACCACTCCAGAAATTGTCTTTCTACCAAAGGTATTCTCCTCTTTGATAAAACCTCACCAGTTAGAAGGAATTAGATTTTGTTGGAGTCATATCATCCTTCCTCCAAATGATACCCTTAGAGGATGTATCCTTGGTCACTCCAATGGCCTAGGAAAAACATTAACAGTTATTGCTTTTTCCTATCTCTTCCTCAAGTATAATAAGGGTAAGAAGATTTTAATCATTTGTCCTCGTTCTGTTATTCAAAACTGGGAAAGAGAAATTTCTTCATGGTTACATTCACTAAGATTGGAATACATTCCATGTTATGTACTTGACCATGGTAAAGACTCTAGAGTTAGTAGGTTAGAAAAACTTCAAGAATGGGATTCAAAAGGAGGCATTCTCTTGATGTGTTTCACTTCATTTTCAAGATGGACCGAAACACAATATTCCAACATTGATTCCAAAAGCTGTCAAAATAGATTTGATTTCGAAAAGAAGATTTCTGACTATTTAAGAGGATGTGATCTAGCAATTGTAGATGAAGGGCATAGATTGAAGAATCCAAGCTCATCAATCAGCAAAGCTCTTTATTGCAATATTCAAACAAGAAATCGTATTGTTTTGACAGGAGTTCCACCTCAATTTGATCTTATGGAATACTATACCATTTTAGATTGGATTAGACCTGGCTATTGGTCCTTGAACGAATTCAAACACTTGTTCATTGATCCTATGAATAATCACTCAATTGAATCCATCAAACAAAGATATTATGTACTCAAACACGAATTGAGCTATTTTGTCCACCGAAAAGATCAATCAGTACTTAAATCCTATCTTCCACCAAAAAGAGAATATGTTATTCAATTCCATCCTCATGATATCCAAGTATCACTTTATAATAACTTTATACAATCTAGAGACGGAGATGAAAAGTGTATATACTATGTTACTTGCATGCTTCAAAAGATCCTAAACCATCCTGATTGGGTAGTTGATTATTGCCAAGCTAATAATCCAAAAGACTCCAACACTTCATCTATCAAATTATTCTCAGATGAAAGATTGGACTTGGAGGGAAGCAAATCCTCACATGCTGACTTGAACTCCTATTCATTAAACACTGAGATTTCTGATGAAGATATGAGTGTTGCTCCATCAATCAGTAACACCATGTTTAACATGCTAGAAAAAGCTGAAAAGTACAAGGATAGTTCAGAGAATATAGAATGGGCTAGCCCTGTTCATTCCAGAAGTTACATTATGAATGCCATCGATCATTCTCCAAAAATGCTTTGCTTGATTAGAATGATAGAGCAATGTTTCTTATCCAATGAAAAGATCCTAGTTTTTAGTCAATATCAAGAAACTCTAGATATTATTGAGAGAATAATTAATAATGTTAATATCACTACAGGTTTACCATTAGAAGACGAACATCAACCACTTAAAAGAAAGCTCAAAAGAAATTTGGATTATTATAGATTGGATGAATCAATGTCAGTTTCACTTGGGCAAAGTGTTGTAGACTCATTCAACTCATCCAATGATGCACCTTTATTATTGATCAGTACAAAAGTTGGTTCCTTAGGTATTGACTTGTCTACTAGTCAAAAGATTGTCTTGTATGATGTTTGTTGGGATTCCTCTTGGGATAATCAAGCAGTATTTAGATCTTTCAGATATGGTCAAACAAAACCAGTTTCCATCTATAGATTTGTCATGTATAATACTATTGAAAGCAAAATATTTGAAAAATTGTGTACTAAAACCTCTCCATTTAAGAATCTAAGCGAGGATAAAAAGGATTTCCTCAACAAGGATGACTTTGTTCCTTACACAAAACCTCCTTCCGAAAATGTAACCATTTCAAAAACTGACCAATTACTTTCTAATGTTTTGAACAGTGATATTAGAATTTTGAAATACCTTCGATCAATCTTTGATTATGAAAGTCTTTATATTGAAGCTATAGATGACATGACATCAAACGAACAAACAAATTATAAGAGTCGGTATGAATTGGACTTTTCTAACTATACCACCAAAGATAGGAATAGAAACAATTCTACAAGCGAGGAAGGTGACGAAAGCGAAGAAAGTGAACAGTATGAAGATGAAACAAGTTCAGATTCAGAACAATTCGAAAGTGAAGAAGAAGAAATTGAATAAAATTTTAATCACTAGTTTGTTCTTCTCAATATTTCCAGTTCTTCTAATAATCGTCTGTTTGTATCCTCTAGTTGTTGTTCGCCTTTTTCCAAATTACTAATATAATTTGCAATTTCCTTTTGTCTAACAATCAGATCATGTTCTGCAGCCTTATGTGAGGCACTAATTAATTGAAGTTCTTCTTTTAAATTACAATTTTCATTTTGAAGCCTTCCATGTATTTCAAGTAAGGAATGAAAATTAGTTTCATCCATTCCTTGATTCAAAGAATTCATCCCAGAATCTAGGCTTTTTGATCCCAGATTATCTATTAGGAAAGGTTGTATTGATGATTCATGTTCGGTTTTGTTGGATAATGTTGTTTGTGTACTGAATGATGAGTTTGTATTATTATTTACATGGGATTGCTGTTCGGAATATTGTTGTTGATGTAGATCAATTACTATAAGGCTTGAATTACTACTACTAAGGGAGTTTATTTGATGATGTTGCGAGGTCATAGGTGGATGTATTTACAAGTTGTTTATTGTTGTGTGTTGTTGGGTTATTTTTTTGACTGCCACACACAGTGTGTTGAATGTTTGTCTTTACAATAGACAGAAAAAAAAATCACAATGTTCATTCACTTAGACCTAGCATTGACTCACCTCTGAGAGTTTAGTTATTGTGGTTGTATTCATGGCAACCACACCTTGGTTCCGTTTGTTGATTATTTACAAGTAGTGTACATTTGTGCTGGGGCACAGTTAGTAGTTCGGTAGCAAAACTCTATATGGTACATTTACATCAGGATAATGAAGAGGAGGATTACTGATTCTCAGTACATACTATTAATATTTACATCTCTGTAACAGGAGGATAGAAGGAGGAGGGATTAGAAGGTAAAATCCAAAAAGAAGGACAAATCCGAGTCAGGTTTCAAATCAGATGAAGAGTATTCTGCAGAGTATTGTGGATCAAATCTCCTTGATTCAACAATAGTCTTGTATGCAAAGTCATTATCATCGTTCCATAAATCCTCAAGATAGGATTGTCTCATCTTTTGAAGTTGTTCACTCGAGTAGTAAATTGGCTGAGAATTTTGAGAAGTAGATGATTTGCCAGAGCAATGACTGCATACCGTACTTCCAGGAGCATGGTGATAAATACAATTATTGGCTGAGACTGAAGGTTGTGGGATTGTAGTAGTTGGATAAAAGTCATATTCGTCAAAGTTAGTATAGCTAATGGAAGGGTCAGACAAGACATATTCATTATCCATGTCAGAGTCTAGGTTGAAGGTAGGTTGAGTTAGTTGTGGGTATGTATTGGTGGATGAAGATAGAGCAGAAGATGAAGATGATTGAACTTTTGGTTCACTACTGGTTGAAGCGCTTGTCATTTTACGCTTCTTAATTTCTGGTTGAGGAGAGGTAGTTTCTTCTTCATCATCCTCTTCTTCCTCAGATTGTTCATCTTCGTATTCATCTTCATCTTCTTGAGAAGGTTTGTACTCATCATCTTCCTCATAATCATAACTACTATCTCTACTAGCCTTCTTTCTCTTTCTATTAACCTTGGAAGATGACTTGATTGATTTTGAGTCTTCTTCATCATCATCTTCACCTGTAGGAATGGAGGCAGAAGCAAGTATGTCACTTTCATCACCTGAAATTTCTCTGTCACCTGTAACAATACGAGTTGTCTTGATATCAAGAAGTTTGTTACTATTACTGAAACGTAATTGAATCGTAATGGATTGAATACCATCAGACGAAGATTTAGAGTTTGACTTTTTTCTCTTTGGACATGGTGGTAAGGTGATTTCACAAACTCCTCCACTTTTTTTGGCTTTATCCTTACACTTTTCTACAACTCTTCTCAAAGTTGAATTCCAGTGGTTCTTGATAGCATTAGCAGTTCTTCCATTGAGTACTTTGGCAATTTGAGCCCATTTGTTACCATGTTTTTCATGATACTCTATGATAATTCTGTCTTCTTCAGGAGTCCACCAATCTTTCTTTACAGATGGATCTAAATGGTTATACCATCTCTCTCTGCATTGTTTACCAATTCTACCAGGGAGTTCTTGAGCAATTTGTGACCATTTCTTTGCTCCAAACTTTTCTACAAGCTTTCTGAGATGATCGTCTTCTTCATCTGTCCATCCTCCTCTGATATTCTTGGTCTCCTTGTTCTTTTGTTTGGAACCCTTCTTTTTTGGAGTCTTTTTCTTCTTGGATGATTTATCACTTGAAGAAGTACTAGAATCAGTTTGATATTCTTCTTCAAAGTTTGTATATTCCTCTCCTCCACTTACATCCTCTTGAGGAGAGATGGGATTGCTGAGCTCAGCAGACATTGTATAATCTAGTAAGTGTGACAAGTTAGTGATAATACTATAGTACTATTTGTTGTTGTTGTTGTTGGTCTATGTACAATAAGGCACTGATAAGATGTTTTTTGCAAAGCCGGCAAAATTCACCGTTAAAAATATTCAAGAGATAACAAAGGGCAAAACTACGACGGTAGCGTTTGAGGTTTTTTTTTGATGATTTTTTTAAAAAATAAAATTTAATTTTGGAGCCATTTTTTCATTCGCTGGTTGCCTATTTTTAATTTTCCGAGTAATCTGATTGGTGGGAAAACTGTAAACCAATCGTCATGCTAGCTATTTTTGAGTGCACCCAAAGGAAGAACATTCTAAAGGGAGCACACACCATTCTCTCTCGTATTGATTATCAATAACGAGAATGGTGAATTACTTTTTGTTATTTACTGGTTTGTTGTTGAATTATTATATTGTTGGGTTCAACCTGAACGTTGAACTTGCAAACTAACTTTCAACCTCCAATAATCTGTTTCGGTTGACAGTCTAATTAATTGAAACTATTTGCTGATGGTTATCAATTATTGATGATGGAATAGGACAGTTATATCCGAACATGTAGGAGAAGCAGTTGCTATAGGTGGAGTTTAATCCTTGATCTTGCAAGATGTCAGTTAACAAGAATCATCACTGTGGCTGAAATATTCATTGGAAGAAACGAATCATTCAACAATTAACAAGGTCATGAAGTGGTTGTATGACAAGATCTTTTCCAACAAGACCATCTTCAAAGCAGCTGGCTAGTTGCAGTAATTGTTAATAATAAATTAATTATCTAATCAATTCGTGTTGTATAGCAAGCTATCATATTGCGGATTCACCAACAAATCTACCTCACCTCCCAACTACCAAACAACTACACAGAACAAAGCAGGAACACGACAGGAGCAGTCATAGAAAAAGTAAACGACATCCTCATTTTCGTAATAACTATTGTCTACCTATGAAATTTTCATTTTAGGTTTTGAATTTTTTTTGTGCTTTGTTTTTATTTCCACTGAAAACAGCATCACTATGCATTGAATGAGCAGGCAACAAACGTTTTGCGAACCAACCAACATTTTCGCTTACTACTCCAATCTCAACGCATTTCGATAATGAGAGGATGATGAAGTTTACTTGGTGCATGGTTGATAATTCTTCAATTGCGTTGATGATGGCAATTGATAAAGTGCATCATTTTGGATAATTTACGTTTTAAAGCTCTACACGTTTTATTACAATTATTCAAGTGTGAGGGAGTTAATCATCCTCAATCAAATTGTTACGAATTAAATTACTAAAATTATTGGAATGTTGTTTATTTGCTTGACTTTGTCAGAAGAGTCTTTCACAGCATACAGGGCATGGTTTCTTCTTTAAGGACGTCCACAACACTTTTAACTAATGTTGTGCTGTAAAGTTGATGCAAAACTAAGATGAACATCAATAATGTTTCCACAAGAAGAATATTGCATTGAACCATTCTATTATTAACTCATCGATTCCTATTACAATAAGGATAACTTGAAAAAAATGTCAACAACAATCCAATCATCATATGATGATTCAAGGAGTAATAGCTCTCCTTCCAGTAATATTGGACCGGAAGCAGTTTCAGATCAACAATTGAAGGAGGAAATTTTAAAACAAATTAAATTATTGGAGGAGGAACATCAAATTACCATTCTCCTTGTTACAGATGTCGGAAGTAGAGCCTACAATTGGGAAAATCCAACAAAGAGTGATTACGATTTAAATTTTATTTATACGAGACATTGGAAGTATTACATGACAATTCAAAATAAGCCACAAACATTAAAGAAGGAAACGTTCATAGATTTGGAGAGTGATTATCTCATTAAAAGAACAAAGAGTTCACACAATTTTTATCATGATTGCAAGGAAGGAGAATTAACAAATCAAAAACTTAGAGTAGAGTGCAATTTTGTAGGATTTGATATCAAGTATGCAGCAGATTTCTTTTTCAAATCGAATAGAGCTATTGTATTTCTCCTTATGTCCCCTTGCGTATATTACGTTCATCCAAAGGCTCATTCTTTATTTTTTGATAAGTGGATTCCAATGTGCCACACTCACGTTCAAAGAAGACATCACTTGCAAGAAATGATTCACATTGCTAGATACAACATTAATAGATATATCCTAGGAAGAAGAACTGTCAGAGTGAAATCATATCTCTACATTTTACATCACTTGTTCTATGTTTTATATTTGTTCAAGAGAAAGGATGAAGATTCTTTCAAGAAGAGGCTTCCACCTTTGGAATTTAAGTATTTATTCGAGGATTTAAAGGGAGACTTTATTTCTCCAAAATTGGCTGGACTTGTTGAGTTTTTAATGAAATTGAAAGTGAGCGGAGATAATTTTTGTAAAATAGTCATTCCACCAGAGGAAGTTAAACCTGTGGAGATTAAAGAAAGTAAACCAACAGACAACACAGAAAATTCTGAGGAGGTTCCTGCTAAAAAGAAATCAAAGAAACAAATCAAAAAGGAAATTAGAGCTCAAGCCGATGAAAACCTCAAAAGTTTGGAAGATGATGGTTCTAAGAATGATATTCACGTTGGGCACAGCTTGGAAATTGAATTATTTACCATTTATTGGTATCGTAAAATGAATTATTGGATTTATCACATGGAAAAGGATTACATGGACGGAAATGATGTTGATAAATTATTATTGGAAGCAATTGATTTGTATGAAGGGCCAGAGTTTAGCATTTGAGATTACATAAAAGCATTTTTGATCTTCTTTTTCTGCTCATTGGCCATCTTTTTCTTCCTTTTCTCATTGAGTTTTTCCTCTAATTCTATTCTTCTTTGCTTTTCCTCTTCCGTTTCAACATATTCAGATCTTTGACTTGTTGTTGGAATAGAACTTGATAGTTCAACTACATTAGTTGGTTGATTATCACTCACATTAGGCATTTGGGATGAATTATTTTCCTCATTAACTTCTTCTGGAATGAGTCCAGCATCATCTCCACCTAAACGTGAATCATTTCCTTGAGAATTAATACCCCCTCCAAAGGAATGTTGTGATTGCTCTCGTGTATCTGCAATCTTTTGTTTCTTACTTGTTTTTGGTGGTGAGAAGAGATGATTCATATATTTGGTATATAATTGTTGGAGGAGAGGATTCTTATTAGATTCGGTAGAATCAGTCTTAGAATTTGTGAATGAAATATCACACATGCCTAGAGAATCACTGACGAGCAGGATCTTATCCAATTGATCCAAAATGTCAGAATTTTGAGTGGAATTATTAGCTCCACTATACATTTGTCTGAAATTAATAAGTTCTTGCTCCTTTTTCAAAAGAAGGGATTTCATTTGATCAATTTGTTGATTTTGAGTTTGAACAATTCCAAGTAGAGGTCTAATAACATGATTCAATATAAATAAATTTTCCTTATTGTAAAATCTAATATTATTCAATTCGCTCTTTTGACTATTTTCATCTTGGTCTTGTTTTCTCTTTTTTGGATTTTCTTCCTCATCCTGAATAAGAATATAGGAATGATCAATTTCCTCCTGATCCTCTCCTCCCTTAGAAATATTAGGATCAATACTATCACAATGAATTTCCCAATAGAAAGGTAAACTTATTTGTACTTGTGTTGGTAAAAGAGCTCTGATAGTAACTACCAATTTGGTTCTCTTCTTTTTCAGAGTGCTTGCATGAACGCTCTGAATAGAATCCATCAACATGTCCATCGCTGTTTCCTCTTCACAATTTTTCTCACCTCTCACTTCAATCTTTGGTTGATTCTTCTCCTGTATCGAATCCAAATCATAATGAATTAAAAACTGTTCAATTTGTTGGACCAAAGATTCAGCAGACATATTCAACCCCTTACAATACTTGTTACTATCACTTTCAATTTCTTCCTTTTCATATCGTTTCTTCCAAACACATTTCATATTGGAAATATAAAGTACAAATCCATTCGTGATGGTTTTAAATTTTACAAAGAATGATTCACCCAACGGATCGACCGACACTGGAAGACGAATCCAATTAATATTCATGATTAATTTTTCATCGGAATCTTGAATTATTTTTTCAAAAGATTCCGAAAATTTCAAAGAACTTCCCAAGCTTTGTGATGACATTTTTTTTAACGTTTTTTTAAATAAATGAAAAATATTATTTGTATTAAAGAATTTAAATATATTTAATATTATTATTTACAATATTTTACAATTTTTATTTACTAGCCAAATCTTTCAGGGACATGAATTCCTTGAATTGATCATAGGTAATTCCACTATCTAAATCAATTCCGGCCTTTGAAAGTAAATTATTAATATTAATTTCGCTCATACTCTCATCACCCATCAATTTTAAAATCTTAATTTGATAATTTACAATTTCCATTACAAAAAATTCAAAAACTTACTTCTTTCAATTCTTTCCTGTCAATTGTGCCACTTGAATCCTTGTCAAAAGTTTTGAAAAATACCTTTAATTCATCCTCACTTGATTGCTGACTCCAAACTTTGACAAATTCCTTAAAATCAATCTTTCCATCTTTGTTAGTATCAACCAAATTGAACATTTCTTCCAATTCTTCATTGGTTGGAGCACAACCATTCAATTGAAACATTACTTGAGAAAGTTCCTTCTTGCAAATACTTCCATTTCCATCAAGATCGAATAGACAAAATGCTTCTTTCAATTCTGAGAGTTCATCCTTGGAGATTGTATCAGTTTCTGATGTCATTTTCTTAGAGTTTTATTTAGAGAGAGGTAAAGTGAGGTTGTTGTTTTTTTTCGAGTTTTCTTTGAAGGTTGTTTGATGGATTAAGAGACAACAGGAATTGAAAATGTCAAAAGGTTTCAACCGACTTGTTGTTTCAGAAATTTGTCGTAAATTCAATAAATTGATGGGTCTTCAGATCTTTTCATATTCTAGAGATCGATTTCTAGTATCGCTGTCTTCAATGATCGAATCTTAGAAAGTTGTCGTTGATATTCGAAAGTCGGATGATATGTTAGAGATGTTTATTGTTTAGAATTGATGCTCTTCAAAACTGCCTTCTCATAATTCTTCAAGAAATCTTTGAATTCATTTCTAAAATCTTTCAAAACCTTATTCTCAGCCATGGAGTTACCGCTCCTTGGGGAGTTTCTATTCGATTCTTTGGAAATGGTGAGTTGATATCTTTCAAAGGCAGGTATTAAATTCTCGCTAACTTCCTTTTGGATTTCATCAAATAAAGTGAGAGGAACTACTTGAGCTTCATTCTGAGCTTGTTCTTTGATGAAATTTTCAACTTTCGCATAACCTTTAGTCTTGACATAATTAGGAGAACCTCTTGGATTCAGATACTTCTCATATAAATGAATCATTAAGGAATCAATCTTCCTATTTGAAGCAATACTTGTTGTTGTATTGATTGAGTAGGCATCACTTGATTCAGAAACAGTATCTTGTTCAACGATGGACGAATCTTCTGAATAATCTTTCAATTCTTCCAAGAAATTTCTCATCGTTTGAATTTCTTGCTTTTCAGGACTCTTGAAATCTTGAATGTCTTCCAACAGGAAAATACGATTCAAATCATTACTCGAATCTCCATAATTTTGTAAACTAATCCACTGTTTCAACAAGGATCTCTGTACAACCGAACTCATCACATTTTGCAACTGTAACCTTTTTGCCTTCATGAGTTTCTTCCTTGAAACTCTTTCCATTCTCAAAACACTGACAAAAATTGCAACACCAATTGGCAATGAAATTACCAAACAAATTAAAACTACAATTAAATAAGTAGTTGAATTGGATGCAATCAATTCATGTTGAGTATTACTGATATTTCTAATCTGTTCAACAAATAAAAAGTAATCATTTAGGAAGGAGGATTGACCAGAAAAATGTTCAGGTTTCATAAATAATTTGACACCTTCAGAATAATTACCTGCCAAGGTTTGTTTTAGAATGGCATCTTGAAGTGGGAATAAATAGAGAGTACTTGCATCCTTACTTGAGTTTGGGAAAACTTTCTCAGCACTTTCAGGTAATAATTTAAAGAGCTCATTAAACGAATCAATCATTTCATTTCTTGATCGATTGAACAATGAATATTTTGACAGATCTTTGGAGAGAACCACCAAATTCACTGCACTACTCATCTTGTTATACTGGAAAGCACTATCACCAAATATTTTCAAAGTTCTAAATACGGGAAAACTTGTTTTGGCAAAAGTATAAATTGTAATAATTGCAATAATTACAACGCCAATGATTGCTGTGCTTATTCCCAACAGTGAAACCAATCTCATGAAGTTTAATTCAACAATCTTTTGAAAACATGGTAATTTAAAACGAGCAGTGTTTGATTTGGCAGTTTCACTCTTCTTTGAGCTTTTAACTTTGGAACTTGAGGTAATTGACTTGATGGATTTCTTTGGAGAATTAATACAAGTCGAAATTGGTGGATTAATTCTTTCAGAGGATGCATTGATAACTTGTACTTGGTTACCAGCAACCATTGTTTCACTTTTTTTTATTCTTTGAAAGTTAATTGAAAGTAAACAAAACCATCAAGTCCAAAAACACCCACCATCAAACATCAATGATACTTGTTGACATTGGATTCTTTTTTGGTCAATTATTCCATTAATAAAGATATCTTTATCGAGATAACATTTTCAAACTCAAACTCATCGTTAGTCAATGTAGTTTATTTACATGTTGTCTAATAAAGTCCTCTGTCTTTTAATGTTAGTTTCCTTCTCTTTGAAATATTGGCTAAATTATGTTATGGGCACTACGTTTACGTTTTTCTTGATGGAATGAACTAAATTGGTTGCTTATAATTGGGTGTTTGTTTTTCGAACTTGCGTATGAAGCGATTTAAGTCTCTTTTTATTCGAAATGGGTAAATTGTTTAGTCAATTACAACAATAAAAAATGCAAGCAACATCTCCCACATCACCAAACACCACAACAGAGGAAGATTTTGAAGATAATGACAGTATTGTTGCTGAGGATGAAGAGAATGATAAGCAGATGAGAAATGTGGTATCGTATGGAGTGGGAGAAACTCAAGTTTCGTTTACTCAAAATCCACTTTCAGATACCTTTTCGTATTATGAGCCAGGAGAACACGCCAATACGAAACAAGGGAGTGAAAATGTGTGTCGTGGTGCTGTCATTCGTTCATGGTTTCAGAAATTAAGAGAAAAGGATCTCATCATTCCATCCATGACTACCATTACACTTTTACTAATTATGGCATGTTTGATTGTAATAGTGGTTGCAGTTACAGCTCCATTCAAGGACATTACTACAGTGAACGTGGTTGATATTATGAGCTATCGTTCATCATTGTTGGCTGCTCATGTATCCATGAAAGGTTTTACTATCCAGTTTATTCCTATTTCCTCTACTATTTCATGAGATCATTTATGGAAGGGAGTTTACAAAATATGACGACGTTGCTGCCTCCAGAGTTTAAGCATGAATACTTGTATTATACGAATAATTATACGAATGCTTTCAAACAACCAACTGTTAAAGTGTGGGATAATGTGCTTATTGGTCCTACAATGTATCCGTTCCCATTCACTATTGGAAATGAAACTGTAACATATTACTTGGTAGACAATCAAAAAATGGGACAAGCTCAACAAGTTTATTCTAGTGCAAACTATTCCACAATGCTATCTTCCTATGAGACATCGTTCTTCAATTATGTTGGAAATATCACAAGTTATTGTGAGAACATTTCAATCTCTACCAAAAACTATTACATTGTAACAATATCAATGGTGGCATTCTGTTTGTTCATTGTCATCCCAACCATGATGTTAACTTTATTCTTTATTCTGAAGAAGGATAGAAAGAATGCAATTCAATTGAATCAAACAAGTGAAAATCTATTGAAAGAAACCATGTCTGATATGGCAACTCGACAGGCTTTCAAAATATTTTGTAACGAGAGAGGTTTTGGTGCTCACATCAATGCCATTGAGAAGATTATGTCATTTAAGGAACATTGTGAACAATCTCAGGAAATGCAAACGAAATTGATTGAAATTACTTCAGATTATGTCAATAAGGTTAATGCCATGCATGATCAAAACCATTTCAATCACAAAGGAGACAAAGTTAACTTTAAGATTGATGATAAAAAGACAAGAGCTATTTTCAATATTTCATGTGAAGCCGAAAAGAAAATCAAACATAAGGAATACATGAAATCGAGTTTAATTTTTGACATTTTGGAAGAAACTCAAGATGTAGCTAGCTCCAAAGTAACAAGTGAATTATTCTATGCCTATGATTGTTACAACAATAGAGAGAAAATGTTTCAAGATATTGACATTCTTCCCTCAATGATTATGGACAAACTGGAACATGAACTAAGTGATGCACTCATCAATACCCATTTAGATTTCAAGGCATCACTCAAAAACAATACCATGCTTTCAAATTCTGAACCACATCACACAGAAATCGATAGAGAAGAATTTGAGTTGGAGCTAGTCAATGTCTAAGCAAGCTGTTACCTGCGCGGACAATTTAATTAAGGGACAGTATAATTTGTAATCAAAAGGAATTGAGGAACTGTGACACTGTATAAAAATCCTTATTTCAACAAATTGCGCATGATTTTTCAAAAACACAAAAAAATGATTTCAAGCAATAACTCAATGTATTCAGAGCCTCAAAGGATGGCGATTGAATCACCTAATAAATTGTCGATCAAGATACAAGACGATGGATGTGGGATTGTATTCTTTTCAAAGGAGAAAGATGATCGGGTTGAGGTAAAGTTTCATAGAACTATTAGGCTTCCCGAAGATGATAAGAGCTATCCACTTCCCTCATCGATGGGATTATTTGCCATTGAGAAGGTTGATGATTATTTAGAGACGGTTCCTGAGGATTTCAAAAAGCATGGAGGTGTTTTTATATGTATACAACAGAGAGAGGCATTGAGAATGGAATTTGTCAATACAAATATTCATTTCCCTCATGCTTTGAAGATTGCTTCGGGAAAGATCAATGTATTGAGTGGAGAGGAATGGGATGAAAGGATTATAGAACGCCCAGTTCAAGATTATATTGTTTCACCAATGCAGAAGAGATTGGATGGAATTAATTGTGGTGGATTCAGAAAAGTGAAACAATTTGTGGCCATGCCTTTAGGAAAGGGTTACACTCTTGAAGGGCAATTAAGTACGAATGAAGAGGAATCAATTGGAGGTATCCAGATTATCTGTTTCAACTCTGACAGTAAGAAACGAGAGGAAAAGTTTGGACAAATTATTCCAACAAAACCAACCACTCCCAAAAAACCAATTCCAACAAATAAGGTGGTTCCACCAACTTCATCTGTTTCCAAACAACCTCCAATGGTTAAAAGTTTGTCTGTAAAACAAAAGAAATCAACACAACCCACACCAAGTCCGAGATCTACTGGTCCATATTTATCGTCACCTTCTTCTCAAAGAAGATCAGCGTCTTCCAATGAGAAGAGTGGACCAGAAGAGATGGGAATTGCTCCTGGTGGCTCAATGAAACAGACCCTAGTAGCAGATCCATATACTCCTCAATTCTGGGATGAACAAAGTAAAGCAAGAATCTTTGTTCATTTGGTGAATACAAAGATGTATACTCAAATCACTGGTAAGAGACCAACTGTTTCACCAATAAGCAAGGAGACATACTTAAAACTCAATTATCCATGGTATGAACATTATGTTGAAGAGTCTGGGACCATTCCATCAAGTGAAATATTATCAGATATCAATACAGTTAAAGAGACTGATGTCTCTCTATATGGAAAATCAAAAGACTCAACCACCTCAATAACTGTTGGAAAAATCATCAAGAAGACCACTTCAATAGAAAAGGCTGATTTTATTCCTCCACCATTGCAAACAAAATCACATGCGTTTCGTGATATTTTGCCAAGAGAAATAGTGTTTCACATTGCTACCTTCCTGACAGTTCCTCCTCTTAATAGATTGGCTAGATGTGACAGATATTTACTCGATTTGTTCTTTAATTTAACAGTTCCAAAAGTGTACTTAATTCAAAAAAGAAAACAAGAATTCAAGCAACAAGGGATTGAGACTGCAATAGTGTCGATGAAGGATATCTTTAAGGAAGATGAAGACTCACTTGTGCAAAAACTTGTCTGGAAACCAATGGTATTATTCTACTTCCCAAGCTATCAAGAATCGTTAAATATCAAAAACTGGATGCATGTATTGAGGAGAAGAGTAACACATCTCATGAAAAAGTGCCCAACAGCTCTCCCTCTCACCAAACAAATGTCAACAGATGCATTCAAAGTTGATATGCCAACAAAGGATAGGAGGTTCATTGAGAATTGTGAGTGGGAGTATGAATGCCCTCTCAAGACAACTGACCTTAAAGAGGCTAGTACAGGTGTAAGGTATTGTCATGTTTGTAAAGAGAAGGTCTATGAAGTATTCACCAAAGAGGACTTTAAATCTCACATCTCACAAGATCACTGTGTCATGGTTACAACAGCTCCACAAAGACGAATCATGGGAAAAATAAGAATACAATAATACTCGAAGTTCCCTCTTTCAGTCTTTAAAACACCAAGATCTGTTCTCCAATATTTATTGATAAAAATCGCTGCTTAGTAAACATTGATTCATGTGGAATACTTGATCGATTCCTCATTCCTTTGTTGAGTGTGTTCAATGATGGAACACCACAATTCATTGATCTTGTCTAAATGGTTCTTTTTCTGGTTAAAACGGTATGTAAAGTTTGTCTGTTTATTAAGTAATTGCCATCCTAAACAATATATGCATCATCTTGCCAGGCCATTATATTTGTTTGTTTGGCCATTGACGTGAACATTTCCTTATTTTTTCTATAATTCTTAAAAGAACTAGTGGAAATGAATCGATAGAAAGTATCATTCATGTTAATCATGATTTGTTGAGAGAGCGAATCAAAACAAGTGATGATTCTTGCTTTGAGGATTCGTTCTTCCTCTTCATTTAGACCATCCAATTGTTTGTGAAGCTCGTTTCCAAATAGAAGTGCATTGAATTGATTTTCTGGCGAGGTTGGCTCGTTGACTGGTGAAAATAATGCTTGATTACACGAAAGTAAGGCACTTCTTTTGGAGGATACATAAAAATGTAATTCTGTAAATAGATTTTTGGTAAGGGATGGGACATTCACCTCATAGATCGATCCAGAGCATATAAAGTTCTCATTTATCCTGTCCATAAACATTGGAAGCAAAGATAAATTATCACCCATGACAATTGACTTGTTTTGGATTAATTCCAAAAACAAGTAAAGATTTTCCAATGAAAATTCCTTCTTTGAATATTCTTCAAACAACTCAAATCCTGATTGATCTTGCAGAGTTTCAATTAATTCAGTTTGTTCAAATAATTCATCACTTGTTGCAATTGACCTCTTTTTGGTTTTAAATCTGAGCAATATTACCAAAGCAAATCCACCGAATATAAACACATAAATTGCAGAGTAGATAGTTTCGAAAATACACTGCAAAACTAGAAAATATTGAGCAGTGTCATCCTGTGAATCTTTGAATTCATGGCTCAGAATTCCACTCATCATTTGAATAAGGCAAGCTAAAAAGCAAACTAAAAAGAGAATCATTTCCATTCTGAAATATAGAGGATTATCCAGTTGAAGTATTCTAAATAGAACATTCTTTCTTTCGAATGATAAAGATGGTCTATCAGTATTCATTTCGTCTTGTTTCCTTTCACTCAATTGAACTACTCGAGAACTGTTTCTAATATTTGATTTTTCCTTCCTTCTTATAGAAGAAATAATATCAATCAAGATGGTGATGGAAATTGTGATAGAGCAGATGATTATAATACCAGCATAGGTCATTGAAGTTATTCGAATGTAATCTTCAGGTAAAATCAAGTCTAATCGAACAAGTATTACCAATAACGACCAAATAATTACATTCACCAACAGGCAAACTACAACTAGAAAGTTAAATAGAATTGGTGATGTAATTAATTTCAACATTCTAATGATATTTCTATTCGAATCATTCGTTTTTAGTTTCAATTCTTCATACAGAGCTTTCATAAATTGAAATCTAATAACCTGAATTAGATATGCAAATATTGCAGTGATATTCAAAGAATTCACAATAACCATGCATACATTTCCAATAATATTCACACCCATCAAACTATTCGAAGGATCACTAATTTCATACACAAACAATCCCTCTTGTAAAATGGAAAGTACACTTTCGAATAAAATAGCAATCATTCCCACAAATGGTGTAATCATTCTACTCTGCACTGGTTGCTGTTTTCTAAATATTCCTAGAAGAAACAACAATATAATTGAAACTAAACTGAAAATTACGTTAATTCCCATCTGAACATATTGAACTGACAAGACGAATGTTTGATCTATTGGAGCTTTAAACTTCATATTTGGTTTCGGTGGGTTTCCCTCGGAATATTCTGTAGAGGTCAAGTTTCTTCTTTCGTATTGGAGAAAAGTTGAGAATTTTGTTGTGTGTGAACATGAACATTGAGCTATTCCAGTAATGTTATCGTAATAATCGAGGGAGCAGCCGTGTCCAGACCATTTCATTGAAATTTCGTCCCAGAATAGGCATGAGATGGCAAATTGTTCAACTATGGTCGTTGTCGTGTTAACAATAGTTTCGGTTTCATTATTGGAAACTGTTTCATTAATTTGAGATTCGGATAAAACTACTCGAGGATCTAATGTTAAATTTCCTCTGGAAACATCGTTAATAACAAACTGTAGAGTTATTGGATTCATTAAATCAACTTTACAACTTCAGCATTTTGAAAATATTTCAATTCTTGAATGAAAGATGACATTTGATTTTGCATTGAAAAATTATCATTTCTGATGTTTCTTTCATATGTTATTAGTGATAGTCCAAGATTAGTTCCAAATCCACCATATTTTCCAGCAATTTCTCTCAAATCCAATTGAATGTTTCCTCCATTAGTTTCTAATAGAAATTTAGTAGAGTTTTGAGCTAAATTTTGCAAGCTTCTTGCGCCCCTAGTTAACACAAAGGAAGAAAAGGTAGTATTCAGTCCAGAGGTTGAAAATTTAGTATAGGGAAGATTAGTGACATCACTGTCAGTGCTCAAAACTTTAGGAATTTCTGATTTCAACATTAATTTCGTAAATGACAAGATTAAATTTTCAGTTTTCCGCATTTCATCATCAACTAACATCATTCCTTTTTGAGAAATAGTTATTGAGCTAGAAGATGAACCAAAAATATTTGCCAACAAACTACTTGCTGTCAATTTCGCATCTTGTGTCAAACTAGATTTCACATATCCGTACGAATCTATTTCTTTCTGATATAAATCCAAAGTATTATACAAAAAACTATTCACACTATTCGAAAGCTGATTCAAAACCTTCTTATCCTTCATTATTGAAGATTCGGATGAAATTGAATTCAAAACTTTCAATGAAGAATCAGCATTTGTAATATCAATATTGAGATTATTAATTAAATTCAATATTAGATTGGTGTTATTCGTATTCGATAGAGCTGACTGATCAAAAAGAAGGACGTGTTTCGAATAATCGCTTAGGTATTCCAATTCTTTTGAAAGAGGATTGACCTGAGCTGTGGCCACTCTCAAGGATTGTTCGAATCCTTCTGAATCTTTTACAAAGATTACAATATCAATGGGTGAGGTTGACCATGAATTTCTAGAAAGTGATTTGAATAGATAGGGAAGAGGAAGCTTTGAAACTGGTTCTGTTGAATATTCTGTTACTCTAATTAAGGAAGATGTTGATGGAATGCCATTGGTGGACTTGTCTTGATATTTGTTGTAAAATCCGAAAGCATACGAAAGTGGTCGAAGGTTTAAATTATTCACAATCCATTCAGGTGAAGAAACAAAGAATGAATCCACCACAGCCATTCCCTCTTTTGGACTCAATTCAATTCTATTAAAATAATCTTCTGGATAAATTGCAGGTTTTGTAATGATAATTGAAATTCTCGATTTTTCAAAGGATTGAAATGAATATCTTATTGAGAGAATTGTAACACTAATTTGAAATACAAACTCTGATCCGTCATCAAATGCATCCAAATTCATATTTGGGAATGGATTTGAAATATTCATTTGTAATATTGGGTTGAGTTGAATAGTGGAATCGTCTCTATATCTCTGAGCTAGTATTGGTCCACTATTTTCAAGTATTCGAATTGGGGTTTTGAAATCTGATGAATTGAATACAGTTATAGTTGATTGGTAGTTCAATTGACAAGTAGTGTTATCTAATGAGAATCCAACACAATCGTTCAATAGAAAGTCAACTCCTTCAGGATAATTAAACGAAACTCTGTTAATTAGAATGGAAATATCTAAATTCTTGGTAAATGCCATAGTGGAAGACAACTTGTAAGTTTGCACATTTGTAATTAGCACATCTTGAGGCTGAATTAGTTTCTTTGGTATGAACAATACAGTAGAAAGAGTATTCAAAAGAATATCTTGTGAATATCTCTCACTAAGCACTCCCCGAATCAAAAATTCATAATAATATTCTCTTTTTAGAGAAGAAACATCCAAACTAAACTCTTGACTCTCCACAATCCATGCATTTTCATAAGAATTGTACATGTAATCGGTACAATTAGAACACCAAACTCTATACGAAACTAAACCTGATTGAATACTGCTCCCAATCTTGAATGAAATCAACCCTTCACTCCCATTGACATTCGATCCATTCAATGCTATTTCTAAATTAGCTGCAACTCTTGAACTATCAACATATGAATCACATAAACTTCCATAAAAGGTTCCATTCTCAGTCTTTTTACATTCACAAGTATCGATATTGGAACAAACTCCATTTCCTGAACAAGCATTCGAATCTGTATTTGCAATTCCCCAACAAGAATATAATTCACAACTGTCTCCGTAATATCCATCCTGACAGGAACATTTCAATTCTTTGGTGCAGGTTCCTCTCTTCATACATTGAGGAATGATAGAGTTGGGTTGGCATTTGTAAGAGTTACACTGCTCTCCTGAATATCCAGTGAGGCATTCACAATGATCTGGACCTGTGCATTGTCCGAAACCAGAACAAACTAAACTATCGTTTGAGAATTTTCCATAACATTGAAAGAGATCACATTGAGTCCCAACTCTTCCACTCTCTTCAGCACATAGACAATTGTTAGGCGCTACACAAGATCCAAATCCTGAACAAACTTTTTCATTATTGTAAGGAATTTCATAACAATCAAAATTTTCACAAGTCGTTCCATAATAGCCCAATTGACAAGAACAATTTCCAGGTGAAATGCAACTTCCCCTTCCTGAGCATATGAGAGATTTACCTGTATCCAACAACAATACAGAAACTCCTCCACATTCATAATCATTACAAGTCACTCCAGAGAAACCCTCAAAACAAGAGCAGTTTCCTCCAACTTGACAATCTCCATTTCCAGAGCAAACTATTAGTGAGCTTGCCTTAATTCCATAACATTGACTTTCGTATTGACAGGCATCTCCATAGAAACCATTTTTACATGAGCATTGATTCAGTCCAGTACATTTTCCATTCCCATAACAAACATTTGAATCATTACTCGGCACCCCATAACAATTCATAAAACCACTGATGGTCATTAGATAACCATATGGTATGGTGGAACTGAGTGTTGGTCCACCACCAGCAAACAATAAGGAATTTCCCATATTAAGCACTGATATTCCATACGCAGAGTAAGGTGAGTTGAATGAAGTAACATTCTCCCAAATTGACATGTTATTAAGGTTAGCTCTAAGCATACTCCTTCCTAAAGATCCAGAAAAGATGTAGGCATAATTCGCAGAAATGAAAGAAGCACTTCCAAAAACTGAATTGGGTAGTGAAATGGGTGAAAGTTTCCAAACAGAATTTGATGATGCATTACTTGTCGTGAGAGAATCCAATTGATCAAATGAAGTGTAATAGATTGTCTTGTAATAGTTTAGTAAATCACTTCCTCCTCCAACAATGTAAATCATTCTTCCTACGCTAAAGACACTAGCTGCAAATATGGCATTTGGAAATGTCCCAACTCTTTGCCAAATTGTTGGGGAGCTCAAGTTGGCCATATACACAGCTTTAGAATATTCTGAATTGAATGAACCTCCTATTAGAAAGAGGTTCTTCTCTGTTCTAAAGAAAACTGGCATTGTGCAAGAATAGGGAAGCTCCTCATCCAATACTGAAAACGACTGCAAATCAGACAGTTTTGCTCGCATTATCTTTGATGTTCCACCTCCAAATATATAAGCATAATCAATTCCATTCAAGTTCAAAACTTGAAATGCATAGCCATAGGCCTTTTGAGGTAACTTTCCAATCACTGAGAATGGCCCCACAGTGTCAAGCGTAATTTGGGAGTAATTTGAATAACCTCCATTGATCAGCTGGCTTGTAATTTTGCTCGAAATTGAAACGTTTGATGATTGAATATTGTCAAGAGGATTGTTTCCATCAAAACCTCCGAATGAATAAAGTTTCATTGAGGATGAATCGAAGAAGAGAGTCGAATAGGAACCAGAAGCTTGGGGAAATACATTGAGTTGTGGGGAGAGGGTGAAGGGTTCTTCCTCGATTCCCATTAAAAAATTGTTGGATAGCTGAATGAGAGTTATAAAGATGAAGAGAAATAATCGAAGCATTTTAAATTGATGAAGATGTCTGTTGAAAGTCCAGTAAACTAGTATTTGTGAAGTGTACCACTATGTGGAGATAGACTTGTCAACGGAGGTCAGAAAACTAAAAAGGAGGTGGACCAAGAAGAGTCGGCAGTAGAAAACCCACCTCAGCATAATTTTCTGTAGCAAAAAGTTATACCCTGTGGGACTCGAACCCACAACCCCCGGCTCCGTAGGCCGATGCTCTTCCAATTGAGCCAAGGGTACTTACATTAATATAAAGCAAAATCCCATTATACACATTCAGCCTTAATGGGTTTTGTAAGGAGATTATTTTCTTAATGCAATCTAATTGGTTTTTAATTGATAAACGAAAGATGCGTTTATTCTTCTGTTTTGTGAACTTTACAAGAATGTAAGTGAACAACCAATCTGTCAGGTTCGAATTTTCTATTGCAATTTGGGCATTGAGCCATCGAAGCAATATAGATGGTTCTTGCTTCTGTGTTGTAACTCTTGTAAGATTCTGCTGTATCGTCGGAACCAGGAATTGGTAACACTGGTGGTTCGGGAACATCCTTCAGTAAATCTTCAGGAAGACCAGAGTGAGCCCAATATGACTTTCTCTTCTCTATACATTCTGGAATGTGGATTGGGAGTGATCTTGTTCCATATTCTTGACCACAACAGTAACAGAAGAGCATCTTCTTTGTCAAGTGTTTGTTCCAATTCTTTTGAATTGTTTTAGCTGCTTGTTGTTCCTCCCAAGTGTGCCCATCTTTATCCTTGCATGTGGTTAAATGCTTCGTTAGGCGATCACATTCAAAACCTCTGTCACAAATTGGACAATGGACCAAACTGTATTTAGAGAATAATTCTTGAGCTTCTTCATTATATGTGTCAACTTCTTGTTGAGTGCCATTTTCAGAATCAGGTATTGGAGCTGATGGAGGGCTTGGAAGAGATTTTGGAACCAATCCTTTTGGCAAGTTGGCCTTGTAATCGTTCAGTCTTTGTTCTGGACAATCGTTCAAGTGAATTGGTAGAGAGGTTGGTCCAAACTTTTGTCCACAAGTGTAACAAATTAACATTCTTGAAACTGTCTTCTTCTTGGCCGCATGTTCCTTATACTTCTTTTGAATGACAGAAGCAGCCTTATGTTCATCATCACCATATTCTACATTTTCAAAGTTTTCCTCCTCTTCTGGGTCCTTCAATTTAGGTGGTTCTGGGCTTTCATTTGGTATTACTGGTTTGTGTTCCTCTTCCTTTTGTTTGACTTTCTTCGGAGGAATGGCATGTTCCTTCTCCTCATGACCACCTTCCTGTCTCTCCTCCTTAGGATGTGGTTTTTCAACTTTGTGAGACCCAGTTGATTCATTATGTGTTGGTGGAGGAGGAGCATGGTCTTCTTCCTTTTGTTTCTTTGCTACTTGAATGCTTTTTTCAGTAGACTCCACTGGCTTTTGTTGTTCTTCAACGTTTTTGGCACTAGAAGCTCCACAACCCATCTTTTCCGATTTTTTTCTGCTAATGGTTTTGTGGCAGTGTTTGTTGTAGTTGTTTGGTATAACAGCTGTTTTTTTTAAACTTTTATAAAACATCAAAACGATTTTTCTTAAACCGTCGAATTGTAGTTAGTTTGGGAGGGAAAAAAAGTTCCTTAGTAAATTCAAAGGAGCATTGATAAACTTTGTTACAAAAAGTATTCTTTGAAAATTTACGAACATTAAATTAACCCACAGCTTTAATATTAATTTTAAATTGTTATAGACCAGAAGAATGTGTCATCAACACGCAATCAAACTGTAATCAAAATCAACATAAAAAAATGATGAAACAACAACTCGGAATATTTTTACTGGCCACTTGCCTGATGATCTTGTTATTATCCAGCCAAGTATTTTCATTATCGGAAAAAGTAAATAGACAACAATTAGAGAAGGAATTTGCAGCAGCATTTGAAAAGAATGAACGTCATATGAGAGAGAACAAAATTCACAAAATGGAAAAATCGGAAAGATTCATCTCAACTCCTACAAATCATTTTGTTATAAAAACAAAAACAGATTCAACAGAAGCCGATGATTTGATTAAGAGAATTGCTGAAGAATTTTCTCTTGTTCAAGTTCGTAAAATTCCAGGACCTAATTTCACAGCTCACATTTTAAGAAAGACTCTCCAATCATCAGATAACGAACGATCTGTCAGAGCTGCTCTTGACACCCAAGCTATGAGTAACATTGTAAAGAAATATTCAACACAAATTTTGGATTTCTACAATGAAAAGAAGAATAACTATTCTAAACGTTAATTTATATGTCACCTCCCAATATTCAATACTCGGTAATGTGAGCACCACTATTAAGGATGATTAACCTTGTTGAAATTGTATTCTATTTCAGATAATGCTGAGATAATGATCTGTATATACTCTCCAAATAAACCATAAATTATCAATTTAGAAATTTGAAATTCTCTTCTTTCTCTTGAAATAGACAAATGTACCAATAATCCACAAACATAAACTGTACCAAGTGGCCATATAAGCAACGTGAGTAGCAGGTGTAATGTAGAATTTCATGTAATCATCAGGAATTGCGAGCATTGGATACTTGGTTGGTTGAGCCTCTGAAGCTTTGAGAGAGTGTTCACTTGTTTCCTTTTCATCATAGACAAAGTTTGGAATGTGATGGAATTGATCCAAGAGAAGTGGAATATATGACATTTCATAATATTTGGCAATTGAGAATAGATCCATGGCAATGAATTTGTTTGTTTTTCCATCATAGCTCTCAGAGATACCAGCTCCAAGATATTCTCCAGGTCTGATAATTGCTGTGATTTTCTCAGTATTAGTTGGATCAGTCATCTTCTTTTCAAAGTCTTGCGGTTCCGGATTTCCATGATGGTAGACAGTCTTTGGAACCCAACCTCTATTCACCATTACAACTTCACTGTTAAATTATTAGCTCAATTATTCCTTAATTAAAACCTACCCATCCTTCAAAACAAATGGTGTCAAAATAAAGTATCCCATCTCTCCCATTGTAGTTGGAAGATCCAATCTCTTGGTGAGAGGACTCTTTCTCAAACCCACCACAATTTCCTTACTATAATCAAAATAACCTTCCAATGTTACAATTCTATGTACATATTCATCCTTTGCAGGATTAATTGGATCATAATTTTCCTCTGTTTTTTCATGCAATGATGGTGAAGATTCTGGTTCCTCCACAGGAGATGTCTTTAACATTTCAGAGCCATTGTATGGAATTGGGTCTTGAGCAAGAGTGACTTCTCTCAATATAATTTGATCCTTCTTCCACAAGTATCTTCTTGTTTGCCAAATTCCCAAACAAAATGTAGTAATTGCAGGAATGCCAAAGAAGAGGAATTGAGTAAAACTGATGAATGGTTCCTTCTTTTCACCTCCATTATTATTAGAGTATTCATCCTTGTTTGATTCCCTTCTCTTGTCCTCTTCTTCTTTTCTTTCCTTTCTTCTCTCCTCTGCTCTGTCCACTAATCTAATGGTAGCATAGTCAGCTGATTTGAATCCAATATTGAAAAGTCCGATATTGTTTGTCCTCTTATTGTTCAGAAGTACGGATGGTACTCTAGTGAGGCTCCTTCTCATCATTGTTTTGAATTTTTTGATGATTTAATAATTATTTAAAATTCAATTATTTTCTACTTTTAGACCTAAAAATTGATTGCACTTGCACAATAACAACATGTTGCGTAATATTCTTCAATCTACTTCTTCTGCTTGTTTAAAGAAGAGCAAATTTATTTCCTCATCATCTTCATTGATTTTTACTCACAACAACAATAATAGACAATTCCACAGCAATCACACCAGTAGAGTTGAACATCCAAAAATCAAGCCAATCGATTCAGTGGGTTTTTACAACTTTTCCAGAGATTTTGCAATTGCTAGTGCCAAGGCTTCCCGATTAATTGATTTAATCTTTGCTGTTAGGAATGAAAAGAATGATATCAAGAAGGAAGAAGGTTTGAAAGCCTACTCACAAATGATGCTCGGCCTCTACATGTTCAATATGCTCACCATGAAGGAGGAGAACATTCCAGCATTGAGTAAAGCCATCTCCCTCTTTGAACAACTTCAAACCATACCAAGTGGCTCTGAGGAAAACTTTAAATTGAGAGAAGAGATGGGCATTGAATTTGCCAAATCCTTCTCCTCCAATGATCCAACACTCGAGAGTTTAAAGAAGGTTTCTGTGGATGAACGTGGTAATATCGTGAGACAGGGTTCCTTCTTGATTGCCTATCCATTCCTGAGGAGTTTATTACTCGAGAGGGATTTCATTGGTGAGGCAGAGAAGAGTGAAGGTAGAGTGAGTTTGGAAGATTTTGTTATTAATTTGCCATCTGCTGGAGCTGGAGAGAATACTTTGAATGAAGCAATTAGTCAATCGGCAAAGAAGATTGAAAGAATTTCACAATACTTTGTACCAGAATTATTCGAAAAGGCAAAGGTTGCCAGTTCTTCACACAATCACTTGTTGGATCCATCGATGAGAGATGCCATCTATCATTACAATTATTCACTTCTTACTGTATTATATCAGAGACAAATTCTCTATCAAATGGCAAGATTGAAGAAGAAGGATTTGGCATCAATGAGCAAGGAAGATATTCAACAATTAGTTGAGAAGGCTTCTTCAGCAGAATTTGCCATGTCCATTGCTGGAAATCCTAACGATAAGCTTGTTATGGCTGCTATTACAGATTTGCATATTCACGCTGTATAAAGTTTGTTTGTTCAAGGATATTGTGATGAAGAAGATTGATGTTGCATGGTATTATCCAAGTTTTGAATTTTTATTTAGGATGTCAATAATCAATAATATTTCATCACAACAATAAAATGTCATCACAAGAGTTGTTGGAGATTGACAATCATAGTACGGAACATTCAAATGTTAACACTTCCATCACTTCTCATCATCACGAATATCTTCACTATGGAGATTTCATTTCACTCTTCACTGAATCGAGTGGTGGAAGTATTGGATTTCTCAGTGTGGATGGAATTAATATTAATTGTAATAATATTCAAGGGTTTGTTTCTCTTTCAAAACTTAATAATTTTAATAATTTAATTAAATTGATAATCAATACATTAATCATTGGTTGCCAACATTAACGTTATTTAAACAAAATTAAAAAATGTTCGGAAAACAATTATTGGATCGCGATTGATATCTTATGTTTATTAATAATAATAATTGAATGATGAATTGATAATGATAATAGGAATGTAAAACAAATTCGTTGTGGTCTTTCAGAGGCTGTGTCCTTGACTGGACATGAATCAAATCAACAACAAGCCTCTCACAATCAACAACAAACAACTACTTCCGACTCAAAGACAAAGCAAATTCCTCCCACCTATATGATCTCTAACTTTCAACAATGTGTTTTTCAAGTTTGTTATCCGAAGAGTTATTCTGCCTTGAAAAAGTACAAACAACATTTGGATGAATTGGAAATCAAGGCTAGTGGTAATAGTGCAAAGAAGAGTCAAGACAATTCTGACAATGATTCGAAGAAGGTTATTCATCATGAGAGCAATGAAGTTGCTCAATTAAAGGAACGAATGGAACGTGAGATTCAACAAAATGAATTGGAAGCTCTGAGAAATTATGGAAAACCTGTTACATATGGCTCATCAATTCAATTACTTCATGTACAAACTCAAAGCTTTTTGACTGTTGCGAGAGAGTCTGCAGAAATGCAGAAGGATTGTCTCAGATTATCATTGGATGATGTTGGATCGAAGTATTCACATTTTTCTCTACTTCCATATTTCAATTATCGTAGAGATGGAGAAATTGTGAAACTTTCTGACAAGATTAGAATTTGGAATAGAAAATCTGCACAATATGTACAATTTTCATACTATAGATATAGTAATGCTGTAGAATCAGGCTTGAAGAATGCTCAAAGTATTGGTTCAAACGTTAATGAGATGGATAAATCATCTTACACACAATTAGCTAAAGAAGCTGTAAAGAATAATGCCAACCTTAAAAAATTCACATACGACAATAGAAGAGAAGTTAACATGTCAGCATCGAGTGCATTCTCACATTGGAATTTGAGAGTATTTTCACCTTGTAAAGATTCCCCTACAGAAAGTAACAAATTCCTCAAAGCAGGTGATATAATAAGAATTTATCACAAAGAATTTGATGGTTTTTTAACTGTCAATGAAAAGACTGGAAGAGTCAAGCTGAAAAAGTCATTTATCAATCCTCTTATTGGAAGCTCAGCAAATGGAGAGGCATCTTTTTCAAATTCAGGTTTAAGTTCAATGAAGGGATCAGGTATGAAGTCATTCTCATCCAAATCAAGTCTGGTCTCTGGTCAATACTCTAGTTCGTTCAATCTGGCAGATTCCTTCTCATTGAGCAGTAAGAGTAGCCTGTCACTGGTTGACTCTTCTGAGAATACTCTTTCTGGTGTTATACAGGATGACTTTGATGTAACTTGTCATACATTGTGGCAAGTAGAAATGTTGGACTCAACCAAAGGAGGAGAGTTGAGGAAGAATTTCGTTTATAGGTTGAGACATGTCAGTACAGGAAACTATCTCATAGCAAGAATGGCCACTGATGATGAAGAGAAAAAAGAAAGAGATGCAGAAGATGCTGAAATTTCTGAATTCTCTCACAGTTCTTTCTACATTTCATCTGAATCAAGCTCTAGTTCTATTCAATTGCATAATACAACAAGCCCACTTTCTAAAACACCAATCAAAACCAAGAAGGAGAATAATCTTAGCTTGTTCGTAGAACCACAAGATAATTGTACAAACCCTCTCAATATGTTGTTTAACTTGCAAGATTCCATGCTTTCTACAGATCACTCTGAGTTTTTCTTGAATGGGCAATTCAGACTCAGACATTATCTAACTAATACTTGGTTGCATTCAGTTAATTCGCAGAAAGCTTTTTCTAAATCATCTGAAAGAGCCTCTCTCAAATCTCATTACTCACCAGTATGTACCACTCAAGGCATGAGAGAGGAGGATGTATTGACTTGTGTGTTGGTTTCCAGACCAGAAAGTGAAGACTTGTTCACAGTGCAAAGTTACATCCCAATTCTCAAATACTTTACTCAAAAACTTAATGATGGATCTGTAAATAGGAGTGACATCAAGTTGTACATTGACGTAATTTCTAGTTGTATAAGATTTTGTACTAGCAGTTCTGAAATGGATCCCCTCCTGAGAAGTGGTATTCCAATCAAAAAAAACCAAAAATTAATGAGAGAAAAGGGTGTCATTACTATTGTTATGGATATTTTGATGGCACTTATTTCTAAGAATTATGTAAAATTGGAAGAGTTATCAACAATTCAAGAAAGGAGTGACAAGATTGACTTTTTTGATGTAATTCAGTATTCATACAGATTCATTAGACAAGTTGTACTTACAAACGAATCAAATGGTTTATTTATGGCACAGTACATTAACTTTATTCAGACCAACATTGAACATAGTATTAGTGCATCTGAGGCTCTTTTGCAAATTTTATCCAACAATTTTTCCTTGTTGAATAAGATTACAGAGGACCAAATTGACTTTTTCATCAAATTATTATTCACAAACCCTACTAGTTCTAGTTCATTGAAGCAACATACAGAAAGATATGGAGGTTCTCTTAAGAAAGCTGTCTACTTATCCTTCTTGACCAGTCTAATCATATGTGAAGGAAAAACTGTCGTGAAAAACCAAAAGTATATTAGTAACCTGCTCTTCTCAACATTCAAGGAGCAAATGTTGAAGGTATTTGTAATACCAAGAATTAGAAAATCAGATGATAAGGTGATTATCGATGTGAATCGTGTAGAGTATGAATTGGTCAATTTTTCAAAGTCTGCCACCAATATCGATCATATTACTTATTCAAAAAATAATTTTGAACTAATGGTCTTCTTCCAAGAGCAAATCAAACTCTTTGCTGCCATGTGTACCGGAAGTAATGAAGCTACCGAAATGACAAGAGCAGCCATTATTCAGCTATTTACTTTTGAAATTGTGTACAAGTGTGTTGCAGAGTCGGCACTTACTCCAGCCTTGAGAACTTCTTTTGTCCATCTGCTTATGCACTGTTTCGTAGACACTGAAAAGAACGAAAAGAGAACATTTATTGAATTGACTCGTAAACTTGAATCCCTATCTGGAAAGAGTGTTCACGAATATACATCCCGTGAGCTTGGTGAGGTCAAGCAATTTCTAGAAGTTTTCTTCAGAGAGAATACCTCATTAGATATTGGATACGAGAAGAGAGATGTCAATAATTTTATTCTTTCCCTTGCTCAGTTGTGTGCAGGAATGATTGAATTTGGTATTTTCAATTTGAAAGACTTTGAAGAGACAGATCTCCTTGTTTCATTATTTAACATTCTCAGATCAGACAACGACACCAAAAATGGCTTACCATTACGTGATGAAGAAAGGTTCAAGCAATCAGAAGAAAACGTAACTGTAACTCAAATCAAGATTGAAATTGCCAAGATATTTCACATGTTGCTAGACTTGCTGTTAGATAAGAGAATTACGAAATTCCTTCAATTCTTTTGGATGAAATACAAAATTGATGATATCAAGATTGTAATAGAGGAAGAATCTGACTCATTGCTTGGTGTGACCTCCAATGACAAACAACAAGCACAATTGCTAAATTTACGTAAAAAGGAATTGGATAGAATATTCCAAGAAATGGACACAAAGGAAAATCAGGTTTTGAAAGATATTTTCGAGAATACTACCCTTCCTTTCAAGATTATGTCAGAGTTTTCACTTAAAATTATCAACTTGACCTCCTATGAGAATCAAGAACTATCCACAATATGTCTTCGTTTATTGATCAGAAGATACAGAGCAGCTGACGAGCTTGCAGAAGCTCTACCAAAAGTTGAATTGATTGTCTCAAGAGAAATGGCTCGTTCCTATGACCATTTGAGAAAACAGACTGCCGACTTGAGAAGTATTTTTGGTTATGGTAGAAGTAATTTCCTAGGTGCTCGTCACATCAGTGAATACGAAGTTAAAAAAGCTATGAAAGCCCTTGGAGAAGTTATTAGTGATATCAAAACTAATGGAAAGAGAAGTCAAAGAATTATTCGTAATCTCAATTTATTTGAACTCGTTTTGTCTGTTTTGAGGAAGGAGTGGATGGTTCCAACTGATATTCAAGAAAATTGCCTGACCATTTTAACAGAGTTTGTTAGAGGTAATCCAGACAATCAGAAACTTCTCTTCCCTTACATTGAATTTTTCATGAGACTGATCACAGAGAACAAGAAGCTTAGCAAGTATATTGTTCTATTGATGTGTGAAATTGTTAAGAATAATAGAACATTGTGCAGTATTTTGGAAGAAAAATTAATAGAGCAATACTTTGATTTGATTGCTGAACAGAGAAGTGCCTTCATGTTGCTTTTCTTAAGAACCATTTTGGCAACTCATAATAATACACCAATCAAAAGAAACCAATCCCTCATTACCAAATATATGGTTGAGAGAAAGAAAGATGTTTGTGTTCTATTCAAAGACGAAGAAGGTATGAGAGAACGTAACAATAGAATTACCAAGGAAGAACACAAAACAGAACCAGATGGTATTCTCAATTATCACATTGCACTATTGCACTTGATGGCTACTGCTGCTGATGGCAAGAATAGAGAAAGTGAGTTGCGTTTACAAACATTGTTTTCTTTTGAAGAGTTGTTGGAACAAGTTGTTTCTCCTTTCACATTGGCCATGATTAGAAATCCTCTCATCAAGATTATCAATGAAGTCTATATCAATGTGGAAAAGGCAACTGATGACCACCAGGAAAAGAAAACCGCCAATGTACATCATCCTTTGATGTATAAAATGTTTTCAAAGATGATTAGAGAGTTGGAATTTGTGGAGATGCTTCAAACTCTAGATGTGAATGCAATTGTAGGGTCAGAAGGAGCTACCAACTCACCTTCTCCCTCTGGTACTGGTGCTTCTCTATCTGCTAGCAGTGCTACTAAATTATCGAATGCTAGTGTCAGACCTTCAATGAACCTTACCAATCAAGCACTGATTAGACAGAGTAGAGCTATAACCAATAGAAATTCATCCATTGCACCTAAAATGCAAGTAACTGAAGAGGATTTGGAAAAATTCCATGTTGACAATTACTATATATTCGAAGTTATGATTCCAGTTGTTCAGAATTATTTCCACTTGCATTTCCCTCCTCCTAATCTGTTAAAGGAACAACTCGATGTTGCAGAAGATTTATTGCTGAAACTCATTGATTTACACAAATTCACGGCAAATACTGACCAAAGAGAACAAATTTACAAGTGTATTACTGCCATGTGGAAGAAGAGTATGTCTTCAGAGTCACAATTAGCCATTACCAAGTTCGTAACAAACAAGAACACAAAGGCAAAGATGACAAGATCCAGATTTGAAGTATCTTCTACAGTAGAAACTGATGAGTACATTCACAAGAGCTATACAAAGTATTTGCAAAAAAGAATTATTAACAAGGTGGAAGAATTTTCGCACTTTAATAGGATTGGTGCTCTCTTTGAAAAGTATAACGGATTTGTGAAGGTACTTGTTAGAGCCCTCAGAAAGATTAATACACCTCTATTGAATTACAGTCCATCCCTTCTTGAAGTGGGACTTTTGAGTATGGAAATTCTCAAAGATATTGTCAGATCTCAGAATAAGAGAGCTAAAGAGGTGAAACAAAAGGGAGAGAACGATGTTCCAGAAATTGAAAATTTGAACTATGTGGAAAATAAGCTTCCAGTAATGATCATTGAATTGATGACATCATTTAATCCTGCTATTGTTAGATCTGCCATAGATCTTGGTATCTTGATTTTGAACCGTGGTGATAAGGCAATACAGGATGAGTTTTATAGAATATTGACAGAAACTGACTCGTCCTACTTCTTTGAATCATTGAGAGATAGAATCCGTCTTGGTAAGACAGAAATCAAGGAGAGAAAGAATTACCTCAAGAAGAAAAGGGATAAAGACTATGCCTTGTTCAAACAACGTCAAAGACAAGAAGTTGCCAAGGTTCGTGCTAAGGATGAAAATGATTCCTCCCGACCAATGGAAGAGGAAGAAGAAAGAGATTTACAAGAGGACTTTGTTGAAATGGGACATATTGAATTACTTTTCGAGTTTTTGAGACTTTTATGTGAAGGACACAATGTTGAAATGCAAACACTTCTCTTAAATCAACCAGTTAATACTCTGAACGTGAATGTTGTTACAGAAACAATTGAATATATGATTGCTCTAGAGAAAAAGATTGATTTTGATAACGTTCAAATTGCTATTCAAGGTTTCAAGACCTTGACAGAATTCATTCAAGGCCCAGCTCTTGTCATCCAACAAGCTATTGGTACTTCTCCGAGATTCTACGCCAGACTGGTCAATGAAATCATGTCTAAAACATATGAAGATGGAAACTTGCTAAAACAACAAGAACTTGGATTGAAGAGGGAAGTTTTACTTACTCTCAATGCTCTTCTAGAAGGAATGAACAATAGTGTATTTGATTTTATGAGACATTCCCTGAACTTTGATGAATTGGAGCATTTCCTTTTGTTCTCTGCCAGATTTTTGCATTCTCTAGAAACCAAACATGAGAACTCTGATGCAAAGGACGAATACAATGAAATCAAGCAAAGGTTGAGAAGAGATTTTGATCATCACTTCCTTCATGAAGCCACACGTGACAAGGCTAATCCAGTTATTGCAGAAGATTACATTGCAGTCTATATGCCAATGATCAAGAATTTATTGAAAGAGACTGGTAATTTTGCCTTTTTCTTGCTTAACATTTTCAGAGATGGTGAAAGAGAAAATTTGAGAAATATTTCAAGAAGTGCCTTTATTTCTGTAGAGGAAGAAAACAAACTTTTAAGGATTACCAACATGTTGGATAATCATTCTCAATTAGTTTCAGTATTTTCCGAATCGACAGCAAGTATTGAAGTGTTGCGTGATAACAAGATTGAGAAGATTTACTTTTCCAAACCAACCATATGCAACAATTTGATGGACAAGGCAAGAAGTAATTATGTAAACTCTCTGGATGTCATGGCACCTGAAGAGAAAGTTCGTACTCTTTACAACCATACCTTCAGTATTTTCCAAGTTGAAATGGAGCATTATGAATTGATGAAGAAAAAGTCCACCATCAAGGATAAATTAGAAGATCTAGTTGGTATAGCCAACAAACACACAGAAGAAGTGACAGAGTTTGTGCCTACAATGGCTCAACTGAGAAATAAGTACAAGAGGAAAAAGAAACTCTCCATTGGAACTAGTTCTAAAAACAGGGACCAAACAGCAAGTTGGGAATTTATTGCTCACTGGTGGGACAGAATTCGTTTATTATCTTTTATATTTTGTGTGGTTCTTAACATTTTCGTTTTAGGATTTTTGAAGAGACTCTACTCAGCAAACACAGTAGATGACATTCCAGTACCTGGAGATTTGGATTTTGATATTACGTTGGCATCAAAATATCCTACAACAAGAAATTTGGCTGGTGATATTATTATAACTATTCTGGGAGCCATTCAATTGATAACAACAGCATCATTGGCCATTATTTACGCAAAAGTTTTTATTACTCTTGAAGTGAAGAAGAGATTCAAACTCAAAAAGAGAGAGAAATGGGAAAATATTCCAAGAAATAGAGAATTCTATTGGAAATTTATCTTTTACGCACTTCAAGATTTACAAATGTGGTTCTTTGTACTGTACTTTGTTCTCAGTGTATTAGGATTATTGATATCTCCAATAGTTTACAGTATTCAATTGTTCGAAATTGTTTTCAGATTTAAGAGTTTGAATGACGTGTTGAGGGCTGTCATTTCCAATGGAAAAAAGCTCTTTTTTGCAGGCATGTTACTTGGAATAACCATGTTCTTGTTTGGATTGCTATTCTTCTCATGGTTCTCTAATGATTTCACACTTGAATCTAATGGAACAAAAACATGTGAAAGTGTGTTGGAATGTTTTGTGACAATGTTTGACTATGGTTTCAGAAGTGAGTCATCATGGGAAAATATGTATCCACACAATCCAACTGTTGGAAGGGCCATCCTAGACTTGGCATTTAACATGATTGTAATCGTGTACCTTTCTAACGTTGTGTTCGGTACAATTCTAGATTCTTTCCAAGAATTGAGAGCAGCAAGAGAGGAACGTAAGAATGAAATTAGAGAAAAGTGCTTTATATGCGCTCTGGAAAAGAGTAAATTTGATACAAAAGCCAATGAAGGAATTACCTTTGAAAAGCACATTAAGGAAGAGCATTACTTGTGGAATTATGTCTACTTTTTAATTTACTTGTACGAGAAACCTGAAACTGAATATACAGGTGTTGAAAGTTATATTTTCGAAAAGTGTGAGGAGAATGATGATGTAACAAGCTTCTTCCCAATATTTAGGTCTAAAACAATTGAGGAAAGCGAACAAACAAAGGTTTCATTAGGAGGATCGGATTAACTCAAAGGCATTGTTTCCTTTTTCCATCTAAACTTAGTAAAATAATCTCACATTGATGCTTGACACATTCCACAAAGTTGGAATTTACTTTTTTTGACTCAAAGGAAACCTTTAGCACATTGTATTGAATATTTAAAACAATTACACAAACAAAGCTAGCGGTTATTAATTCTCCCTATTGTGAATGCAAATATTGAGTGTGAAAAACAGCTGTGCATGCTGACCATTGTCACACTCTCAAATAAAGGAGGCACTCCAAAGTGAGACGGCATCACATAAATATACTTGACCTCTTCATAATACTACATGAATTTGTGCCAAGATGTCTTCCATCAGATCTAATGCTGAAGAACGCTCAGTACAAATCCTCCAAATATTTACAACAAATATTGTAAGGGAATGCCTTGCCTTTGAAAAAAACGAATCCACTTACTGTCTGTGAGGAATCTTCTTTTCAAACACTCACTGCATTTCTAGTGTTGGACAAACAGTAAAAAAAGTGCACCATTATTGAGTGTTTGCTTCTAGTCAATTGTGACGCTCGCTTGTCCAAAAGAACAAGGTAAAAAACAGATAAACCACTCCAACACTTAATTTCTTTCCTCTATCTTTATACTAGAAAGAATTGTTATCTAATTCTCAACAATTTATTTTTCCTCCCCTTTTGGAATAGACTTGTCCAAATTGACCGATCACATCGCCCAAAGCTCCTTCATTGGTAAATTCACACAAGTATTATTCGAAAAACAAAAGGCAAACAGTTCATCATTAGCAGCGCTCCAACATCATTTCATCCAACACAACACATTTCTTCAACTGTTTTGCATCTTATATATATATACCACAACATCCCTATCCGAAATCTTTAATCCATCTAAAAAACTAATCCAACACAAACACATATATTTAACTGTTTTGAAGGGAAATTGGTTAATTTCACAACATGTTATTTTGCAGTTCGAGATTTTCTGTAGGAAGCAACAGTTCATCTTCATCAAATTCTTCATCATCATCGGGGAATTCTAATAACAATCAACAACAACAACATTCTGGTGGAGGAAATTCAAAAAGTGATGAAGAGTTTGATCCTGCACTGAATGGTGGACCTATCAGAATGATTAGGAGAAATCAACAGTTGATGATGGCAAATGCTCAAATTTCCCAAAATAGTAATATCAGAAATAATGATTCGAATAGTAGTAGTAATGGAGGGGATGACAGTTGTGTTGGGAAGATATCATTGAGTAGTGATGCTAGTATTGAAAATATGATGATTAATGGTGGATATTTATTGAGGAGTTTGACAAGAGACATTTGGTATTTAATTTTCTCATTCATGTCAACACAGTGGTTCTTTTTGAATGGAAGATTAGTTTGTAAGGAATGGTATAAGTTGATAAGGAAAAGAGGGGTTTATTCTCCAAAATTGGTTTATTACATTTCGAGAAGAGATGTAAAGAAGGAATTGAAAAGATGTGAACAATTTGTTAATTTGTGTCGAGAAGGGTATTTCAAACAAGTTGTTCAATTGACTATACATTCAGATTGTTTACTTGAGAATGGAGGTTTATTAAGGTTGTTATTTGGAGTTTCGAATAATAATTCGAAAGAACGAATAATGAAAGGTTGCTGCACCAAACACATGAACGATGAAGAAGAAAGCAACAACCAAAACATCAATACTAATGCCCTCACCTCACCTAGAACCTTACACAGTCCACGTGAAAACGATTCCACCACTAACGAAACTCTATTCGGCCTAAATCGAATTTGTAAAAATTGTGAAAAAATTCTTTACAAACAAATTTCATGGGTCAACCTACTAAAAACCAACATTCCAACCTTTAATTACTTCCCCAAATTAACTTCCCTGAATCTGAGCTATGAGTTTCCAATAACCAAGTCAATTATAACGAGTCCTTTCATTTCCTCTCTAACTGAACTTAATCTTGGAAGTGGACATGTTGTCACAGATGATGACATTAAGGAAATTGTAAACACTCCTCGATTATCTAAGCTGAAGAGTCTAAGTTTGTATCATAATCAAATAACTGAGCATGGAGCTTTTGAAATTTCGAATAGTTTTAACATGTCTAATTTAACAAGTTTAGAATTGGGATTGAATAGAATTGGAATGAATGGTTTCTTACATTTGGTGAATAGTTCAATTTTGAAGAATTTAACTCATCTCGATGTGAATAGAAATGAGGTGAATTTCAATTCAATTCAGGAAATTAATGTGAAAGAATCGAATTTGAAAACATTGATATTGTTAAAGAATGAATTGGGTGTGAACGGATCCATTTCCTTTTTAAATCATGGCAACTTTCCTCAATTAACTCATCTGAACCTTTCGAATACGAATATTGGTCTAGAGGGAATTCAGAATATTTGCAAATGTTCATATTTAATTAATTTAACAATTCTTGAAGCTGGAAATAATGATATAGGAGATGAGGGAATTAAGGCAATCTGTACGAGTCCTTATCTTGTCAATCTCAAGCAATTAGATCTGATTAATAATAGAATTGGTCCTAAAGGTGCCTATTCGATAGCTACCTGTCTTTCGAATTTAACACATCTTGATCTCAGTAATTTCGGTAATGAAAATCTCAATCAAATTGGAAATGAAGGAGCATTCTCAATTGCTAACAGTCCAAATATGGTCAACCTTACAAAGTTATGCTTGAGAAGGAATAACATTGGTGAGGAAGCTTCCAAAGCTGTGGAAAATAGTGAATTTTTGAAAAATCTTGTCAATCTCGATATGAGATACAATGAAATGGATATGAAACGAAATAGAAATGTTCCACCAAGTTACAGAAGGCCATACGATGATTCCACATGTATCATTTCTTAACAGTTGTTTATCACTTTTTAAAGTAAATTAAATACTTTAACAATAGACTCTGTGGAAAAATAAAGCCAAGATTAAGAAATTGAATATAGCCGTTCTGTAGTACTCTCGTACCTCTCCAATTTATTCATGTTTTTTCCATGTTTGATCATTGTATGTCTTAATGAATACTTTACCCATTCCGAATCTTCATTTCCTTAATCCAGTGATTAGCCCCATTACAGTGCATAAGAAATATAAAAACCATGGAATTTTCAATGTGATGGAAGTTCAAATTGGTAAACTTTTCGCATTCCAACAGAACAACGTTGGAGCAGGCCAAACAAGATTTGTTTAGATCCTTCACACACCTCTAGTAGTGGTAGAGTATGGAAGCACACAAACTTGATTGGTGAACATTTAAACATATAAAAAAACCGTTCAACAACAAGAACGCAAAATCGGTTGTGTTCATCATTTTTCTAGTGATTCGACTGCAACAACAGCTACAACCTTAATAGCGTATTTTAAAGCTATTTAAAAAGAATGAGTGAAGCTCACACAGACAGTGCGGAGTCATCAACAACCACCAGTTTTTCATTTGCCACTCAAGTAAAAGAGAGGTTTGGAGAATGGATTGTTGTATTGAGGAATTCCAAAGCGATTGATAGTAACAAGTGGAGGATTTTTCACACCCTCACCGAATTGTATATATTATATTGTGCTCTATTCATTCCAACGATGAGAAATTACGGTTATGGAGAGTATGGACAGATCATGTTTAGTATCGTGGATTTTCCAATGCATTTTTTCTTACATTGGATTCAATATGAAGAAAGTTTCATAGTGAGTGGATTATTTGTGGGATTTTTAGTGTTGGCCTATGGTTTGCTGTTTGTTACCACATGGGCCTTCTCGAAAGGGAAACCTTTTAGGAAAAATCTTAGATCTCCCCTCATTATCATCATGTACCTTTGTAGAATGTTATTTCCTCTCTTTATTCATCAAGTGATTGGATACATGGATTGTAGTTTGACTCACACTGTGCCCTACACGAGTAAGAACACTCTGAATCGATATTCAACGATAGCATGTTCAGAATCTCCGAATAGTATTCTTATTGGCCTGTCAGTGACCTTTCTCTTCTTCCTTCTGATATTTGTTATTGTATCAGAGATGATTTGCTCCGATATGCATCCAATGAGTAGACACATCTTTACACACGATAACTATTGGACCATGGTACTGCTGAGAGTGTGCTCATTCATGAGCGTTCTCATCATGTTCTTAATCCCTATAGAATATCCCTATATATCATCAATTGTGAATATGGCTCTATCACTAATTGCTCTCATCATTCTCTTCAAGACACTTCCCTTCTACCGATCTATAAGCAGCTCTATTGTATTCGGTGTTTATTGTGGAGCACTTACAAGTTCATGTGGAACCTTAATAACCTTCTTCATCACCTCGCTCGCCTTAAACACTCCCAACACTTCATCTCCTCTCTTTAAGGAAGTTAGCGCGGGTCTTTCAGGGTTTATCGTTATTTTAGCAGTTTTGGGATTTTTGGGAGGTTTATCTTTTTTGGAATTATATCAGCGACAATTAAGAAAGACCATATTAAGGGAGGTGTTAAAGATGCGTTCTGTTTATAGACAAATACTACCTGAGGAGAGTAATACAGTACTCTCACCTAATGCAGCTGCCACAGGTAGAGAGAATAATTTTCTTACTGTTCATCGTACTCCTGTGAAGAGATTGTCAATTGATATACAATCGAGTTATACGACAGCTGATTCGGCTTATCAGCAATTTATGTTAAATGCTAGAGCTAGTGTGAAACAGTATAAGAAGGGATTGTTGTTATTATTGAGATCTGATTTGGTGGAAACTTCTAATACAACGAAAGATTTGAATGGAGAAACAGTTCAAATTCATGAAATTACAATGAGATTATGTAAGAATATTTTACAGAGAGGATTTGGAGATCGTCAAGTCATGGAAACTGTGGCAATGTTGTTCGCTTACAGACACATTTGCACTTCATCAAGTTTAACTGTAGCCGTCGAATTGTTACTCAAAAGTCAAAAATATTCAAACCTTCTTACTCACAATTTCTCATCGATCAAAATTACTGAAATTCAAAGCTTGGAAGAAGCTC